CACCTATCAGGTGACTGTCCCATATCTTCAAAGTACCTGTCACTTCATATTTGGAAAAGAAATCAGAAAGATTTCCAGGAGAGCATATGGGCCAAAGAATGGGGCCTCAGAGGAGGCGGAGGGACATAGGAAGGGAGTGACTATTATTAGTTTCCATAGAGTTGCTACTTGAGAATGGCTTGCTTTCATTTAGTCTCTGGTTTGCTTATACTTGCTGAGGACCACTAAGTGCAAAGCAACATTATCAGTTTGCTCACATTTATTATTTCAATGAGGGTGTAGTTAAAAAGGTTGACTTTTAAATTGCCTAAACCTGCATGAAAATCCCCCAAAACAACAACAAAATGGCTCTTTGGTTTTGCATCCATTACTTAGCTTTCTTCTCTGCTCTTCAGCTTCCTAAAGACTATTTTATTTGTCTTATAGATTGACTGAGATAATGAATGAAAAATGTCTGATTTTTTATAAACACAATATACAGGATGTCCCCCCAAAAATGTATATACATTTTAACAGCTGATAGCTCAATTCTGAAAATGAAATGCATTTTAATAAACACTGTCTTTATAATTACTCAAAGTATATACATTTTTTGTAATACTCTATATATTACTTCCTTCCCTCCTTGCTTCTGAATGTTACTTAATTTTAAGAATTGATACAAAATCAGTTAATGTAATTATTCATCACTTCTTTTTAATAGGAATAGGAGTACCAGGCTAAATAGTAGGTTTTTTAGGGAATAATGTGATGGTGAAGTGGGGACTCTACAAGATTCAACAGTGGGCCAGAGTCAGGGAAGTCCATTCTTAAAACCCACACTAGGGCTCACCAGCTTATAGTCCCCATTGTGTCCCCGGTATCAAGCACACTGCCTGGTGTATTGGAAACTCAATACAGTATTTGTGGGTTATTGGTTAACTTTAGGCTGCAGCAAAACACTAGCCAAATAGCATATAGTCAAGAGTTCTTAAGATAATATAATGAAGAATGACAAGGCCTAGAGGCAGCCATTGCTGCCAATGCCACCTGCTTTCTGTCTCTGATCTCCAAGGTTTCATGTCCTCATTCCTCAAAGATAGCAGGAGCTTCAAACTGCCCCTGAAGCTGAGAAAATAGGGTGTCAGCTGCATCACTACCACTGTTAGCTTGCACTATAGAATGTTAGCCAAATCCCCCGAGTGCAGGTGGCAGGAGTCAGCCCAGACAGTTTAGAGGGCATGCAGCGAGGCAGGCTGGAGCCTTGCTGTAGAGGCCGGTGGGCCGGGAGAAGATGCCAGGAGCAGTGGGCCGCACAGCTGCAAGTCTGGAGCCCACTGTGGCAGTGGTGTCAAAGCCATCAGGCAGCAAGTCTCTGTCCAGCAATTGGGGTGTGCAGGCCAGGTGCTGTGTCCTGAGGAAGGGATGTGTAAGAACTGGGCAGGGGGAGGGCTCACAGGTTTGAGTTTCACTGAGGCACTCACATGCTAATCAGAAACCCTGGTCAGAAGTCCAATGGCTGTGCTCACCGGGGACAGCCCCCTCCCCCATTCAGCCACAGCAGCGAGACCAACTCCAGACCACTCTGCCAGGGCCCTCTGCCTTCCAAGGAGCAGTTCAGGAACTGGGTGAGGAAGGTCCGCAGGGAACAGCCTCCACACTGACGAGCCTGCAGGGATCCTGAGACAAGTGGGAGGGCTGACGGACTCAGGAGAAAATCCACACTGGGGACTCCAGGGCAAAAGGCTATCTCACCCTGTCAAAAGGGCTTCCGCTATCATGAATTGATTTCTGGTAGAAAATTACCAGCTGGGAAAGAGTAGGGAGGATGAGAGAAACCATCAGTTTCATGCAGCCAAAGCAGCTGGGCTGAGGAAGCCAAGATGGACAGAGGGCGGCAGCTACAGGAGTGTCCTGGGCAGAAGCCATGTCTGAGCCATGCTGTCCTGTGCAGCAGCTGTCGGCCACGCGCAGCCCAAGAAATGTGAATTAATTAAAGCGAATAAAATGAAAACATCTATTCCTCAGCCACACTAGCCACATTTCAAGTGCTCACTAGGCACGGAAGGCTAGTGGCTATTTCGTAGACAGTGTGTATGGGAGATTTTAATTACTGCAGAACCCTCTCTTACATAATGCTGGTCTCACTCATCCCTCAGGTTGGAAATGCCTTTAGACTCTAATGTGTCCTACAACAGGAAGGTGGGTCCCGAGGTTCTGTTGCTTTTATTCAAGAAAACTGGGCGCCAGGAAAGGCAGTGAGTGAATTCACTTTGGGCCTATTCACCTCTCTGGACTATTCTTAGGTTGAAAGAAAGCCAGAGAGACCAAGTCCTTAATGCTAGAGACCTGCCTAGGTCAACTCCCCCCAGAGTCTTCCCCTTGGGGTTTGCTCACAAGTGCAAACCCTTTCATATCACACGTAAACAATCATCCAGGGAGTGAAAAGATACAGCAGAATTCCAGCGAATGGGATTAACTCCAGGTCACTGTCAGAAGCCCTGGTTCTTGGGCACGTTCAGCTCGATATTTTCACCAGAGCTTCAAGTCATTTCTGGCTTGGTTTTCTGCCTGAAATGTTTGGGGAGGCTTTTCCTGAAGTCTATTCCTTAATGAAGAATATCACTTAGTAAGAATCCAGGGAGCCCTGCTTTCCCAATGCTCCTCCAAACTAGTTGACCTTCTCTGGCCAGCCATTCAGGGACCGGCACCCTCTCCTGCCAGGAGACATGTTAGAGGTGCCCACAGGAAGGATCCATCCTCCTTTCTTTTTACAGACTGACCCTGGCAGGTGAAATGCAAATGGCCCCAGATGGCTCTCTTTCTTCTTTAGGAAAAGTCTCTCTTGTTTTTCCCCATATTCTCACAACAGAGAACTAGGGGTTGAGGAAAGTAGGCAGCACTTCATGCTTTAGACCACAGCTGGCTAGTTAGGGGAGGCTGGCTTGTTCCTGGATCTGCAGGATTTGGGCACAGGGCCTTTCAGGTGGAGGCTCCTGCAGGTGTCAGTTTCATTTGCTCCCTGGGGCAGGTTTGCTCCATACCTCTCCAGTGCTCACTAGACTGACTCAGGAAGTCCACTGCAGGGCCTTGCAGATTGCGTCAGGCATCATCAGAAACACATCTGAGTCAACTGTGAAATGACTCAAGGCTTTGAAATATTTAAACCATATGTCCCATGAAACTAGATGAAAGTGATGCCAGTTTCCCTCCCTAGGGGCAGCCATCTGAGACTGAAGCTCAGTTCGGCAATGACCTTGATTCCTGGCCTCCCTCGGTCGTATTGCTGCGGGCTGTGAACCTGTCAGTACTCCAGGCCCACCGGTGGGCAGAGGTACCGTGAACCCTTCAGAAAGTGGCCAGGGATATCTGTGGTCTTCTCTTGGCCAGGACAAAAATTTATATCCCTTAATGGTATTAGGATGGAAGGGGAAAAGATTATAATTGCTGCCCTGGAGGAAGCAGGAAAAAACCATTCTCATCATCAGATGACCTTCAATAGAAAAATTCTCTGAAAATCAGCCCAAACACCTAGGCATTCTTTGAGTGGAAAGAAGAATCAGCATTTTAAGAATATTGTCTGTCTTATTTTTGAAGTATCTCAAAGGTTATTTCCTTCTTTCTGAAACATATCCAGCAGAACACTTGATGTGGAATGATGCTAACAAGCTAATGTGGAAATACACTAACTATAACTCAGAGGTGTTAGATTTTGTTCCCAGTTATGTCACTTGGTACTGGTGTAATTAATATTAAACTTAATTGCTCTGAACTTCACTTCCCCTTCCCCTAAAATGGGGGTGCTAAGAACTAACGTTTAGGGGCATTTAGAGGTTTACATGCAATGAGGTATGTGTAGCACATGGTAGGTTATCCAGAAATGCTGGTTGAATATTAATTTAAAAAGATGATGGATAGCTTGTCAATGAACATGGATCCAAGAGCTAAGGAGTACCCCTACCCCAATTAGTCCTGGGACAAGTCCACCTTTGAATAGCAATAGAATACATGGGCAGGGACTCCTCCTTTTGGCCTTCTGTTGATCTATAATGCATCTGGGGAAACTAACAAAGCAGGGGAAGAGAAGTAACAGAAAGCCAGAGAGATTTTTTCAAGTTTGTATGGAACAATTCTATCAGAACCAAATCTTTCTTTCTCATCACTCTCTGACAGGAGTAAGGGTAGCCAGAAGAACCACTGAGTTGCTATAGACCATCCCTCAGAAGTAGCTGCCATGTTGTGAATCCCAGGTCAGTGGATGCCAGTGATTCTGGCTGGTCTTCAGGGGTGGAAGACGGAAGGTGCTGCTCAAACCAATCCGCTCCTCCATTATCCAGGACAATGGGGTGCGGCCGTTAAAGAGGGCACAGATAATCCAAGGTGATTGGTAATCCAGCTTTCCCTACCCTGCCTCATTCATCCAAGGGATCTATTCTTGTCCTTCAAACTCTTTTTGAGGAGCTGCTTCTAAGAAGCAAAGCACAGACATTTGCAAGTAACTGCCCTTCAGGTGCTGGAAGGTTCAAAGGAGCAATGATGCAGCCTCTGAGGTGGGGAACAGGAGGCCCCATGGGCTAGAACACTGAGCCCTGGCTGGGCATTTTACAATGAGGCTGGTGGTTGATGAAACAGGAGGATAGAAAAGAGGCCTGAGTGGATCTGGGGCGCTGGGCCTGGAGAGGTTTGGTTTGCACAGTTTCTTCATGTACTGGGGCCAAAGACAAAGTGAGAAATGGGAGAAGGAAGAGCATCATCTGCCTCCACTGGATGGTAAGGCTCAGCTCAGGGGCAAATCTGTGTCCTGTCCATATCAGCCATGGTCCAGACCATGAGCTGAGATTCTACTTCAAAGACTTGACCTGATCCAATCTTGGCAGGTTTAGAAGTTGGAGCATTTATCTATCATCAGAGAAGATATGGTCCTTCACTGATTATTTCTGCCCCTCACTCTCCTTCTTTCGATACTGGCACTCCATCCCTCTAGTGCCTGCACACCAGATGTCTTTTATTCAGAGGCTTACCTTGGGTTTAAAGGCAATGAGCTTCAGAATCATCTCTACAGTGAAGAGGCCGGTGAAGAGCATGTTGAGGATGTTCATGGCGACTTTAAACAGGCAGCTCTGACCGTAGTGCTGAGCGGAGGGAAGAACTGTGAAAACGAGGCAGGGGTATCCCTACTCCTCACCACCCTCATCTCAACAGAGGTCTTCCTTGAACCATCCACTTCCTGGAAGTCCATCCAATTCTCTGTGGGCAGTCAAGTGGATTCAGGAAACCTTTCAAGTTCTTTCTTTCTCTGCTATCTCCAAAAACAGAAGTTGGCAGAGTTCTACGTTCCTGCTTTGATTGGTTATGACAACTTTATGGAGAATGTTGGCACTCAAAAAAGTTGACCTCCCTGAAGACAGGTAGATGTAGAATCAATTTCCACACACCATGCCTTACTGACCATAATGAACAGTTTGAGCTCATCCTCTCTTCTCCATTTCCTCCACTCTCTCCATTTTCTCAACCTAGGGGCCTATGGATTCCTAGGGTCCCAGAGGGGAGCTCCTCCTTGAAAAAGGGAACTTGTCTTTCTCTACCTTGGAGAAGAGGAGGGCTCTTCTGGTCTTTCAACATACTTTGGCCACCAGGGAGGTGACAAACCAGAGATGCCTGTCAGCCCCTTTGCACTCCATTTTCTCCCACAGCACTCTCCCCCATGCAGGCATCAAGAGACCAAGGCCCCCCTGGACTAACCTGCATGGCCAAGCAGATGGTGTTGAGCAGGATGAGGATGAACATCAGGTACTCAAAGTAGGTGGAGTTGACCACATACCACACTTTGTACTGGTGCTGGTTCTTGGGTATGTACCTCCGCAGGGGCCGGGCTTTGAGGGCATATTCTACACACTGACGCTGGGAGGGAGGTTGTGGGGGGTGGAGGTGGCAGAAATGGGGAGAGAGTGTGGTTAGTTACTTGGATGTGTGCAGAGGAAGGTGGGATGTTGATGAAACTATATCCCTTGGGGGTAGCATTCTCTGGAATCTGAGAATAATTTCTTGCTCCAACTCATACAAGTTTGAGGTATTATTTGAACATTTTTTTTGAATTTTTCTTTCCCTTAATCAAGGAGATCATATCTTCTAGTTAATCTCTTTATTAGGCTTAGCTGAGGAGTATATGTCTCCTTTCAACTCCCAATACCTGCTACACTGCTGCCACATAGTTCCTATGCCACAGACTATCCTTGGAGCACCTGTCTGCTCAATTTTTCTTTCCTGTCCTCAACCAATCTTCCTTAATACCAGTGTCCACAGATCAGAAGACCCAGATCATGGTTGATGATGAGATCTTGGACTAACTAGGTTCTTGGGACTCCAGCAAAGAATCAGTTCATTTATCAGCAATGTGCCCAGATTTTCAAGTCTGGAACTGGGGAGTCACTCAAGCCTCTTCTCTTACACACCCCAAACCCCTATGTCCACTCTCTAAGCTTGATCCACCTTATTTCCTGCTAGTCTCTTTATCTTTACTATTGTTAACCTGGTAGTAGTTGAGGGGCGAATATGTATCCTGTCCATATCAGCATGTCCATATCTCCTCATGCAGCCAAGTCTTTGAAGTAGAAGGATCAAATAACCAGTGAAGGACCATATCTTCTCTGATGACAGATAAATGCTCCAACTCCTAAACCTACTAAGATTGGACTAGGTCAAGTCTTTGAAGTAGAATCTCAGCTCATGGTCTGGAACATGGCTGATATGGACAGGACACAGATTCGCCTCTCATCTACTACCAGATTAACAATTCGCCCCTCATTGCATTTCATCTATACTTTCTAACTGGTCTCCTTCTTCCCTGTCTTATTAGCAATCCAAAGTCCATAGAGCAGCCAGAATGATGAGTCTCAACCCAAGATGTTGACATAAAAATCTTGCCTAACGGGTAGAGCTGTCTCCTTTCCATAATGGGTAGAGACTTCAGGTCTCCTTTCCACCTGAAGTCACTCATATGGGTATATTACTGCATGTACTCTTCCCATGGGGGAACCTAGCAGTGTACCTGACCTTGGTGACTGTACGCTGCACTCCACCTTAACAGCTTCATTCCTCACCAAATGGAGTTGCCAGTTCTTGTTCATAGGCTAAGAGAATACATCACAGTACTGGACATTACCACAGTACTCTTACTTAAGTCTTTTTCCTGCCCCTACTTCATGCACAGGTCTCTGGATTTTACTTGAAGAAACCATTTACTAGTGATTTTCTAATGCCATGCTCTTCCTAAACCTCAAAACTCTCAGTCCCTCATTGTTCCAATTTCTTTCCTTTTTATCAATGAGACTATCCTACCATGGGCATGTTCTAATTTGTTAATTTCTAGATATGACATAAGGTTTCTACCCCCTAACACTCCCCTCCCTTCCCCAAGTCTATCACAGAGCCTCCTTAAGATACTTAATGAACAGTTGTTGGATGAATGAATGAATTTGGTAGATCTTGGATTAGCATTTCTTTTGTTCAGCCTCCTCCAGAAGACTGGGGAGCCCTAGTCTCATTTAGAGGAGCAGACAGATGATCTTAGTATCCATATGGATCTCTCTCCTGACCATAGCCTCTCTCCTGGGTGGGCCAACTGCTGTCATTCCTCATGTGGCCCCACTTCCCCTCAATGCCTCAGCTCTCTCCTTCCTAGGGAGCTACCTGGTTCTTGTCCAGCTCACAGTTCTTGTACTCCTGCTCTCCCTGCTCCTGGAATGTGACGATGACGAAACCCACGAAGATGTTCATCATGAAGAAGGCAATGATGATGATGTAGATGATGAAGAAGATAGAAATCTCCACGCGGTAGTTGTATATGGGGCCCTTGTCTTCCGTGTGGGAGTCGATGGAGCGGTACAGCAGCCTGCAGGAGGAGACAGGTCCCACAGAAGAAACTGGAGAAGCAGTGCCACCTCTGCGGAATGATAGCACTGCCGCTCCTAAGGAGTTCAGGGGTGCTGGAAACAGCTCTAGGCTGGAAGTCAGAAGATCTGGGTTCAAGTCCCAACTATGTCACTACTGGCCTTGTGACCATGGGCAAATTACTTAACCTCTTTGAGCCTCAGATTCTTCATCTGTAAAATAAAAAATATAATTCCTGACTTTCCTAACTGGCAAAATAGTTGATATAATATATTTGAAGGTGTTCTGAAACTGTCAGAATTATTTTAATATTTTAATGTAATATGAATCATGGACATTGATTTCAAATACTATAAATATTGGTAAATATTGAAACAGCTTTGCAAACTGACATAGACTCAGAGAATGTTACAATGAACATAAATCTATCAGAGATCAAATACCCATTTAGATAAAAAGGGTAGAGAACAAGGACCCAGGCTTATTCAGCTCATCAGCAATCGTTTGGATTTATACTTGGGGGTTTACATATGTGTGCCATCCATTGGGGCCTGGGCTCTATGTCCATCATGCTTGTTCTCCTCTTCCCCTTCTTCTTACCCAGCATAGTACTTGGTTATCTTTCAGGTATTATCGATATTTTACCATATAATAATGGTGACTCTTATCTAAGATCATGTGCTATTGTTAACTTAAAATATATATAACTTTCTGACTGTTAGATGATAATTTCACTGGAATACGAAAGTGGGGGAGCAGATGTCTGTATAAAGATGTAGGGAGCACATGATGGACAAGTTGCCTGGTATGGGTGATATAGTGTAAAGGCTGATTAGCTGGTGGTTTAGGCATGAAGACACTGCCTCTGCAGCGAAGTCTGGACCCACACTTCCTTCCCTTTCTTACTTTCCACTATAAATATAGACACACTTGCTCTAAGGAGGCTTGGGTAGAGTCTCATAAAACAGAGACAGCTCTGCCATCTTCACCTGCACTGTGAGTGCATGCTGGGGGTGATGATCTTGAATCCTGTGGTGACTCAAGGGCCCACCGTGGAGAAACTTTCCCACATCCCACTCCCAGGTGTCACGAGGGTAACCACCGATCCTTATCATTAGGGCTTCACTCTGAGGCCGAGAAGGAGAACTAAATGAAGCTCGTTTTTGGTTGGAGTTTCTGAAATGTTGGCCTCTCTAGAAAAAGAAAAGTGTGCATTTCAGCAGTGATGATGGCCTACAAATTGTTCTAGAAACACAGCCACACTTCCTGGGGGGACTCTGGTAAGTGACCTCTAGGAAGGAGTATGGGACAGTAACAAAACTTGGGGACTGTGTGTGAGGACCATGTCCTGGCCTCTGGTCTCAGGCCTTGATTTGCATACTCACTCTGGCCACCCCTCAAAGGTGGAGACAGTGAAGAGAGCCATCATGGCTGCCAAGACATTGTCAAAGTCAAACTTGCTGTTCTCCCAGTTGCGGGGCTGGATGATGGGGTGGTCAACCTCGCCGTCCTTGTATGTGATGTAGTTTCCCCTGAGAAAGGAGAAAGTTAGTTGTGGGGGTCTCTTCTTTCACACCTGATCCACAATGACTTTTGGCATGCTGGGTGGGATGGAACTAGTTAGGCTTAACCCCCTCAGTTTCAGCCATCGGCAGGACCTTCAGGGGGGAGAACCCGGTTCACTATGTCTGTGGGATCAGATTATCCCTGGGTAAAAGTCCAGCTCCACTGCTATCTGAGGAAGAATGGCTGTCCCTTCTCTCACACCAAGCCGCAACCTCCCAAGTTAACAAGCCTAGGTGCTGGCTCCCGCCAGCCCGCACTCACTTGCATTCCGCCTCAGTCTGCTTGGAACTGTCTGAACAGGTGTAGAGCTTTCCCTGGAAGGCAGAAGAAGGAGGGGATTGGAGATGTTCATTAACCAATGAATTAATCAGAACTGATCACCCCAGCACCGTGCTAGGGAGTTGGGACAAGAAGTGCGAGGGGAGCAGAGTCCAGGTGGGCAGACTGAGTCACAGACATAAAGCAGTCAGAGCCCGAGAACCACTGGAATTCAAAAAAGGGAGCTCCAGTCATGAGTGCCGGACTCTGAAGGAGGTCTCATGGGGAAGAGAGTGGTGGGGCTGGGCTTGGAGGGATGACTGGGTGGGAGGAAATCAGTGGACGTTTAATTGGTGGGTAGGAAAGGGCAGGGGGAAGAATGCTTCCAATGGGAGAATCACAGAGATAAAAGGATTGTGGCAGAAAACAGTGGAAACCAAAGACACTGGGCTCCCGGATCTGGGGTGCTTGTCAGGAAGCAGTGAGAGAGAACGTGGATGGAGGCAGGACAATTGATGCTGCCGAAAAGGGAACCACTGCGGTTTTTTTTTTTTTTTTACTGGGATGCCTCACATGGAGGTTTCTGAGCCTAGGCATCCGTCTCCCTTTACTGCAGAGCAGGGGCAGGACCTGAAGGGCAGGCAGCACCCAGAGGCTGAAGGGTCTTCGCCTGGTGGGGCAGTGCCTCTGTCCAAGCCTGTCCCTTTTCGGGTTTGGGAGCTGAGGGCAGGTGACCTTCGTCCCAAGTCTGACCCAGGCCACGGTCCTCTTCTGGCTTATCTGCCAGGCCCCTTCCTAGCAACGCTGACAGGAGAAGGAAGAGCCGGGGTCTTACCTTGAAGAGCTGGACCCCAATGCAGGCGAACATGAACTGCAGCAGCGTGGTGACAATCACGATGTTCCCGATGGTGCGGATGGCCACGAACACACACTGGACCACATGCTGCAGATGGGGAGAAGGCGGGTGGAAGAGTGGTGTGGGAAATGCCTGTTGCCTGGGCTTCTCTGGCAAAGCACAGGCCTCTCCGAGGAGGCAGCATGGTAGCGCCTTTGCCAGTGAGGAATTCAGACTCAGAGGCAAAGCATCTTCCCCTTCCCAGGGCCGCCTGGGAGGGAGCCCAGTGGGACACAAAGGCCCCTTTGGGTGATAGGTACCCACAGGGACATAAACCCCACTAACTCCCCAATTCGTAGGGTGGGAATATAGGGACCTCATCACCATCTGGGCACTGGGTTTGTGTGTGGGTCTCCGTTTTGCAGAAGTGTTGCTTAGGAGTTCAGAGTCTGAGTGGCTGCCTGTCCTTGTTCTCTCAGGGGGAGTGGAGAAGCACAGGAGAGTGCAGGCTCCAACAGGGCAGCCACTGGACCCCACACACCCTCCCCCAGCTGCCCACCCCCCACTGCAGCTTAGCTCCCCCTGCAGCCCACCCCCCACCGCAGCTTAGCTCCCCTTGCAGTCCAACCCCCACTGCAGCTTAGCTCCCTGGCAGCCCACAGACTGGCTGCTGGGCTGGGGGTGAGGGGGGGAATTGGTGGATCCAGCTCAGCCCCCTCTCACCTTTAGCCCCTTGGCTCGGTTGATGGCTCTCAGGGGTCTGAGTACACGTAGAACTCGCAAGATTTTTACAACATTGATTGCACTGGACCTGGGAGAGAAGCAGGGCAGGGAGTAAGCTTTCCTGTTTCTGGCAAAGCAGCAGAGAATGTGGTGAGGAGTGTCCTGGCAGGTCACCCAGCAAACCTGTTACTGTGACGGGGACTTTCTCATCCTGGGACCCTCTCTACTCTCTACGCCCGGCCCCCGGCTCCCACCCCATGAGGACCTGAGACTCGCCTGCCTGGGCTTCCTGTGGGGGAGGAAGTAATATGAAAAGCAACCCACCAGGACTCACTAGCAACATCACGTGGCACCCAGGGGCCTCTAGAGCCATCGAGACACAGCGTGGGCCACGCAGACCTGGGGTCACACCCAGCTCTGCCATGCACCAGCCGTGCCACTATTTCCCTAACTTTTCTGGGCACTCGTTTTTTGTTTTTTTTTTTCCACCTGTAAAACTGGATAGTAATCACCTCATAAGGTTGTTGCAAGGACTGAGAAAGGCGAGAGTGGTGTAGCCGCGTATGAACTGAATACATGGCAGCTCTATTATGAGGGCGGGGAAGACATCGCTGAGCCTGAAGAAGTACCTCACAAACGGCGGCACTTCAGGCGTGTGGCAAGAGGTGGAGGGCGTGGCAGGAGATATCATGCTCATCTCTAAACATGTCCTAGGTCCGTGGTCAGCAAACTGCGGCTCGGCTCTTTGGCCCCTTGAGTGTGGCTCTTCCACAAAATACCACGTGCGGGCGCACATGTACAGTGCGATCGAAACTTCCTCACCCATTCACAGAGTCGGTTTTCGGCCTGGGCGAGTCTATTTTGAAGTGGCGTTAGAACACTCAAGGGGACAAAGAACATGTGGCTCGCGAGCCGCGGTTTGCTGACCCCTGTCCTAGGTGGCTGCCGGTACACTTATTTGTAAAACTTCTGGTTCCTAGCAGTCAGGAGGAATGACTTCTATACAGCAGGTCCCTCCGGCCACTGCTGCTCCTTAACGCAAAGGAGGTCCCAGGGCCCCAACCCCCCACAGCCCCTCAGCAGGCTGGGCTCTCCACTAACCCAGGGGGCCCGCTCATCACCCCTGCTCAATAGCTCGGTGAGCAACTCTGAGGTGAATCCTAACCCTCACACGCTAATCACTAACCGTCTGATCGAAATAATCCCTCTGGTTTTCTGGGAGCCTTAGACTCTCCTTGGGACCTAAGCAACGCACAAGGCAGGCAAGTGTTCATTTCATCCTTCAGGTGGTCAGGCTGATGTGCTGGGCAGGGGGGGGGGGGGGAAGGGGGGATAGGAGGAGGCGGCAGAGAGCTGATTTCTCTGGTTCTCAGCTCTTTCTTTCCAAAGGAGTCAGTTTGCACTGAATCACAACGGGAGGGATTTAAAGGTCAGATGGGAAAAGCAGGGACTAAAGGAGGGAGCCCTCTGTTCAAGGTTAAACGGTGACTACGTGGAAGTGCAGGGTCAGAATCCAGACCCGCAGGCTTGCAGACAGAGGGTGGTGGGTCAGGTAATTGATGATCAGAGGGGAGAGTCTCACGCCTAACACCCCATCCATGCTTTCTAGGCTGACCTTGAAAACACCCTTGGGAGGGGACACTCAGGGCCGTTTTCTTTGCCTTCAGTGTGATCTTGGGTATGTCTCACTATGTCTTGAACCTCAGTCTTGCTGTCTATAAACTGGGGGTAACAGCACTTGCCCTGCCCACCTTGCAGGTCTATGTGGGGACCACAGGAGAATGCTGGTGGAAGTGCCGGGGAGGCTGAAGTGCAGGATTAGCACTATCAGCGGCCACACGTGAGGGAAACGTGTCATAGATTCTTCTAAACCTGAGCTAGTTCAAAACTTGGTTGTACAGTGGAACCCCCTGGAAAGCTTTTAAAAATCTTAAAGCCCAGGCTGAACCCCAAAACAGTTAAATAAAAAACTCTGGGGTACATGTTTTTTAAAAGTTACTTAGGTGACTCACTGTGTAGCCAAGACTGAGAACCCTCCTTTGCTCCCTCCCTCTCTCTCTCTCACCAGGTGCTTTGGGGAATGGGCAGAGACCAGGGCAGATCAGGGCAACAGCAGGCCCTTGGAGCTGAGGGCACCCAGAGGCCCTGGGCACATGGTGGAGGGACAGGAAGGCTCTGGAGCCTCTCTTCTCATTATAACGGGGCCATGGAAATCTTCAGACCTCTATATGTATTCTTGCGGGATCAACATACCCCAAGTGTCACACCATGAGGACAGGGCATGGGCACAAGAAATCACAGCCGCCATGTTGTACAAGTCAGAGGCCCCACCCCATTCACACCACAGATCCATGCATGGGTGCAGGGGGGCCCGGCAGACTCTTCATGTCCTGACACCCATTTCTACTCGCACGCCCCAATGGCTGAGGGGTCCTACTCACTGGATGCCAAAGGAGATGAGGGACACGCTGACCACTAGCAGGTCCAAGATGTTGAAGTAGTTCCGGCAAAAGGAGCCCTTGTGTAAGAAAGCCCCATAAGCAGTCATCTGCAGCGGGGCAGAGAAACACCCACATGAGTGGTGCCTGTCCGAGCTCCTGAGACCCCCCCACCCCCCCGCCCTGCCCTCCCACAGCACCCCGAAGAGCAGTGAGGGGACAGGGGGCTGGGGGGCAGGTGAGACTGGAGAAGGAGATACAGTGTCAAGAAAAGGGTTCTGCAACCTTTTATACAACCACCAAAGAACCCTAAGCCCAGAATCCATCCGTGTCTCCTTCTAGCCAGCAATGTCAGACTCCTCAATCCTATATCTGAAGCCCTTTCAAATCAGGCCGCCAGCTCTTTCCCATTTTCTACTGTTCCTCATCGCATAGCCGTGGCTCCAGCCCTGAGGGGCCCTTTGCTGATGCTATGCTGACCAGGTTGTCCAACCTCCTCTCAAAATTCCACTGACATCAGGACCAGCTTAAGACACTAGGCATCTGGGGGAGGGGGGACGCGGGGGGAAGAGGTGTCCAGTAGGGTCACAACCATCCTGGTTTCCTGCGACTTTCCCAGTTCAGTTCTGAAAGAATGGGTCCCCCAGTCTCAGGCAAATTGGAATAGGTGGTCCTCTACTGCCCAGAGAGAAGTTCTGCCCATAGCTCTGGCACGTAGCCTCCCCCAAACAGTGCCTCTGAGCTGGGCCACGGATTCTAAACTCAGTAGCCGTCTTGCTGCTAGAGGGTGTGTTCTCTAAGGGCCAGAGCTGCGTCCAGAGGGGCCGTGCGGTGCGCGTTGAAGATCACAGGCTCTAAAGTCAGGCCGCCTGGGTTTAAATCTCAGTCCTATCGTGTTTTATTTGTTCAGCCCAGGCACGTTACTAACTGTTCTGTGTTTCAGTGTCCTCATCTAAGCCATGGGGGGACTGATAACAACTCTCCTCTGGGGCTATAAGTTCCAGCTGAGTTATTGTATGTAAATCACTTAGAACAGTATCCTGCTAATAGTCAGTGCCGTGTGCACGCTGGGATCAGGATTTGAATTCTGCATTCGTGAATTTCTGCACGATGGAAGTTCAGTTTCCTCATTGATAAAGTGGGTGCATGATTCCCTGCCTTCCTGAGGCACATACTACACATGGAAAACCACGTGAAACCAAAGGGGACACATGGACTGATGAGTATTATCAGTATCGGCTGTTATTACCTCTCTCAGAGCTCGGTGTAAAGCCCTGTAGGTGCTCAGCAAATAGCCTTTCCCATTGTGTTGACCTGAATTAGGGGTTTCCAGGTGAAGGGCTGTGAAAGGCCATGGGCCACAAAACGTCAGCCAAAGGGAAGCTTCGGAAGCTGCCGGCTGAGAGGCTGAGCTCCCTGGTCACCGGTCCAGTTCATCCCTTTGGATCAGAGCACGCCCAGGGCAGAGCGGTTCCAAGCGAACACAGGGGGAGTGAGCAAAAATAGCTCCTGCAACCTAATTCTTTCCATTTATCTCTTGCCACAGGGGTCACAGGGGACGCAGGCACCTGTGTCCTGCAATAGTTTCTTGAAATGGGCAGGTTATATAAAAGGTGGCGGGGGAATAGAGTCGGAGACCTCCCCTGGAGGCCGACCATCTGGAGGGGCTCGCTGTCCTCCTCGGTGAGGATTTGGGACCAGACAGCGGACTTGGGTGGCTCTCATGGTTCATGTTAGTCAAAGAGCTCTGTGCCTGCTGAAGGCCAAGCACCTCTCTCGCCACCCCCTCTCCTCTGAGAGAAGGAGCTGGGCATTGTGAGGATGCTCTGAGCTCCAACAGAACACCTGCATCCAGGGCAAAGCATGCTCCCTCTGGGCTCAGCGCCAGCTCTGTCCTTTGATTTGGGTTCCTGTTTTGTCAGAGCCATTGCTTGGGAAAAGCCACTGCTGGGCATTTTCAGCCCGAGGAGAGAAAAGCAGTGGGACACAGGACCACTGATTCTGAGCTGGACGGGCAGGAAGGCCCCTCTGTCCAGCCACGGGCGACCCACCACTTCTGCAGCCAGCAATTCTAGTTACCAACTGCGTCTCACCTTTTGTAATTTCTGCTCATGTGTTCTGGTTCCAGTTCTTCCCTCCTCTGTGTGACAGGCCTTTGCATAGTTCAGGCCAACTGTTATGTCCTACAAGCCTTTTCTCTTTAAGGCCAAACCTCCCCAGTCCTTCACCTGCTCCTGAGATTAAATGTCCCTCTTGATGAGTGTCATTGTCTGTGCCAGTGGCAGGACGCCAGGCCTTCAGCCAGGCAGAGGCCCGTGGGAGGAAGTGCAGGGAAGGGCGCTGGGGCTGGGGTTTATATCTGGAAGCACACTGGGTAGAGAGCAGAAGAGGCAGAGGGGAAGACAAGGAAGGTCTTGCCATGACATCGCCTGTGCAGGGAGCTCTCACTCCTGTTTGAGGCACAACAGCGCCACTGACACCCCAGGGAGGCTCTGCAGGGGGCGCTGAGAACTTCTTGTCACAGGAAAGGATTTGGGGTGTTTGAGTGCCTCCCTGAGCTGAAAATATCAGCTCCTCCTGGAAGGGGGCTCTGCAGCACCCCTCTGAGTGCAGCCAGCACCCCTCGGGCCCCTTCCCCACCCTCAGAACGGGGACCTGGCAGATCCATTCTGCTGAGTAGAGAGAAAACCCCAGAAACAGTATTGTAAGATGGAACCAGGGACTGAAGCTGGATCTGGATGGGGGGAAAAAAAAAAAGGCAGAAAACTGCCCAATTCCCAACAGGACGTGGGAGTTCCACCAGGAAGAGTGGGGGCTGGGCTGCCCACGCAGGGCCTGGTTGGACATTGGTTGCACCAGCCCCCTGAAGGGTGAAAGGGAGCCTGGCCCGGGGGAGAAGCATCCCAGGGGACTATCCCAGAAAGACGCTCCGGAGGCTTTGACCCTTCGGTGGGGGGCTGTTTGGGGTCAGAGTAAATCCCCTATGTCCGGGATGAATTGGAGTGGCAATGCATTGGTTAGAGGCTCAGAAATATACTGGGTAAACTTAGAAATCAGAATAAAATAAAACATAAGTAATCTATTAGTTATGTATGAATATAAATAATCAGAAAAAAACTTGGAAGTGATGTGCCTCATCCCAGTGCTGCTGGGAGGCGGGCTGTGGGTTCTGCAGACGAGCTGCCTGATCCTGGAACTGCTGGCGGCTCCACAGCCTGTGCCCTCACCTCTGGGACCTGGGGCCTGGGTGCTCCCGCTTCTTTCAGCACTTGGCTCTCACCCCCTGCACTTAGCTCTCCGGTACAACTCTCCCTCCTCAGGGCAAGGGGCATTGCCACAAAGCTTTCTGGCAGGTAACCGAGGTTTCAGGAGTAATCTAATCTAGAGTTGTCAATCAGAACTCAGTGGGGAGTCTGGCCCAAATCTTGTGCTGGGCCCACATGTCTGCTGCCAGTACCGAGGAGCTGAAGATGGGCATTAAAGAAGGTAGCCAAAGCGACCCTGCCATGACCCTGAACTTCCCCATCACTGGAGTTTGTGTGGCATTTCCTCTGGGCAGGAGGAGGTCCAAGCAGGGTCAGTCATCAATTGCCCACAGATGGTGTGTGGGTGAAGGGCCACTGCTGGCGGGCACAGGGCCAGACCTGGTGACAGGACAGCCCCCGTCAGTGACACTGGAAGCCAAATGCCAGGCTGAGAGGAGGCAGGTGTGGGAGTGAGGGTGGGTTTTTTCCTGGCTTCTGAGCCTGAGTAAAGCACTAGCACAATGTCAGGGGCACTAATGCTTCTGATTTCAGGCTTGAGAGTAAAAGAAACAAGAGGAAAGAGGCAGGCATGGCAGAGATAGAGAAAGAGAGAGAATGCATTTCTCAGGTTGCATTACCTTAAGGATAATTTCTAATGTAAAGATACTAGTGAAGACATAGTCTGCATTGCCTAGGATCTGAAAAATAAGCATAATTAGATTAGTGGCTCAGAGAGGGAACGGACAGCAACAGGTGCACGTGTGTTAGGGACAGACAGCGGCAGAGAGCTAGTGCCCAGGAGGAGGACAAGAGGAGCAGCAGGAGGGGCGGGTTTTACCTTCAGAGCAATTTCAATGGTGAAAATGGTAGTAAAAACAATATCAAAATAAAACAGAATCTGTAAAACAAAGAGAAACAGTGGGTACGGGGAGGGAAGGGAGAAGGCAGGACGGGGGAGAGGTCAGTCGCTGTTCACCAGAAAAGGAATCACACTTCAAAACCACGACAGACGCCATGTAAGCCTTTCCACGCAGAGACAAAGGGAAACAAGTTAGCTGAGCGGCACACACACAGCACTGGGCCCTGGAGTGGGCTGGCCTCAGGCAGCTGGTGGCTCTGGGTGGAGTCCCCAATGTGTGAAGGGAGCTGAAGGCAGGCCTTGGTTGGCCCCAAATCCCTACAGCATCTTGATGTTTTTCTGACTAATCCAATCCTTACAAATCCACATCAGTCCGCTGAGATAACGACTTGTCAAAAGGACAGAAAATAGGATTTGCTTTTGCAGGAAGATACAAAGTGCTTAACTGACATTGGTGTGGCTCGGCCAGCTTTCCATGTTGGTGGGAACCTACACTGGAGCTGTGTCCTCTGGGGCACAGGAGGGAGGCCACCCAGGCTGGGGCAGGTGGTTTCAGTTTAATCTATCTCCGAGGATCAGAGCGAGGGCCAGTATCTGTCTCAGTAAAAATGCTCTGAACCAAGCAGGACCACCAAGTGCTTTGCAGGGAATGCCTTTAGATTGGTAGGCGCCTCTCTTCAAGTCCACTTGGTTGGGACTTGTTTTGAGGCTTCGGAATACAGCAATTCTTACTTTTTATTCTAATGTTGTTCATCGGAGCCTTGAGTGGGTCTCCAAGTTCACAGGAGGCCACAGGAACGCACTTTTATTCAAGCTCAGTCTTATCATTGGCAGCTGTCTGCCAGTGCTCCTGTCTCCCTAATGATCGGGACTGGCCAGAGTATCCGAGAGCAAGTCAGGATCAGTGGATATCCTTTTACTAAGTTTACAGGAAACCAGTGTGTCCTGGGGACATCCACAGGCAATGAAAGTCCCCACCTTTGCCCATCAAACCAGCCTGAGGTATCTGGGTACATGTTTTCTTACTTGTGGTCCTTATATGGTTTTTACGAAAGCCTTACTCTAGTGAAAGAACTGTTTATCTGACTATGAGATTTGGAGTTGGGCTCCTGACTGGACAATGAGGTTAGTGACAGAAGCTGTGGGCTCAGTCACATTCCGGAGGAAGGGGTGCGGAAAACTAACGGGAATGCATACATGGTTCCTGAAGGAGGTGTGCTGGACCGGGTCCTCCGCAGCCAGGGAGATGCTGCTGAGCAGGATGAAGAAGAGGATGAGGTTGGTGAAGATGGAGTCATTGACAATGCGGTGGCACTGGAGGCGAAACCTGCATAGGGAGGAGAGAAGAGACACATGTGAGGAAGGCAAGGAAAGCAGCTCCCTGGGTCTCCCGGGGCCTTTCAATGTGCGAAAGGTGCGCGTCAGTTGGGGGAGTGGGCTCTCCAGCCTGAAGTCTTCCTGCGCTGGGTGACGGCAGCCCCAGCACCCCACCACGAGGCACATCTGCCCAGAATGCTGCCTTCTGAAGCTCTTTCATTGATAGGAGGCTTTGACGTTTTATAGGGTTACATCTGAGACCCCTGTGAATTTCTAAATTTTCAATGTTGTTGTGACCTTGACAACTGATTTTTGTTGTGGGACTTCTTTTCCCATCATTAAAAGACAACAACAACCACTTTGAGATCTACTTCATATTTTTATGTATAGGGAACAACAGAGCCACCCAGAGACGTGGATGCTGATGGCTGAACCTACACTCTACTGAGGCGATTTACTCGGTATGATAGCTTCATGGCGTATAATTCAATTCCATACCTCAGGACAATTACAAAGAACTACTACATACATGGATCTCTGGGCTCACACTGATAGTACCACAAATGCTAAACTTCCAGTGCCAAGGGTGTTTTGTGTTCTATCTTATTGTGACGGTATATTAATAGAAAGGTGATATGGGGATATCATCATTTGCACTTGGTAAATAAAAACAATGAAACCCAAGAAGAAGCATTTTGCCCAGAAATGTAACCTATAGAATGAGGGATTGAAACTAGGCCTCAGCCCTCTGCTCCTGGCATGTGGTTGACTAACTGCTCTGAAAGACCTTACTGCTACAGAAGCACCAAACGCTGGAAAGGACAAGCTCTTCCAGATAATTCTGGTTTCAGGAGAGTTCAGAGAAGCCTGCAATGACCATCCTCTTCAAACAAAAAAACAAACAAACAAACAAACCCTCCAATCTGGGGTCATGTGATAGGTAAGGTAGGAGGGCAGAGCTGCCTGAGGAGAGATGCCAGTAGCAGCACTGCTATCAGGAAACTTCATTTCAAGCCAGGAGTTTCTGGAACTAAGCTGCCCCAATAGTAATTAAGGTCACCAATTAATATGAACTATTGAGATCATAATCAAGGATCATTAAACATGCAAGATAAGTGGAAAATCAGAAAAATAAATAAATAAATAAATAAACAAATAAATAAATAAATAAATGATTTAGACTCCCCCCTGCCAAAAACTTTGAATATTAAAAATATCAGAAACAAAATATAGGACAACTATCTTAGAAATATTTAATGAAATAAAGGACTTGATCACAAAGATAATAAATTGATAGTTAAGTGTTAGAGATAAATGAATCTGTAAAATCAAGCAACAAATGGAACTGCTTGAAATAAAAAATTATAATAATCAATATAAAAACTAATTTAGCATAGACAAAGTGGAAGAGAGAACTAAGAAACTGGAAGATACAGCTGAAAAAATTACCAGGATAGCAAAATAGAGATAAGGAGATCAAAGGTATGCAAGACTCAGTAAGAGATAGGGTAGGAAGATGAGAAGGTCTAACATAAGTCTGATTAGAGCAACAGAAAAGAGAATAGAGAGAATGATGAGGGGCAATATTCAGAGATGATGGCTGTAATTTTTCAAGAATTAGCAATTATTATTTTAATCTTCAATGTCATTCAAGAACTGAAGAAAAATATAAATCCATAGACTTAAGAAGCATAACATATTCCAAGCAAGATAAATGAAAAAAAGTCCATGTCTAGACACACAGTAGTAAATCTGCACATTAAGGCAACAAACCAAAGATGGTAAAAGCAGCTCGAAATAAGGGGAGATTACCTACAAAGAACTGATAGAGGAATTAGGAATAACAGCTAATTATACAATAGGATAATTCATCTAACATGCTGAGTGACAAAACCTGTCAACTTAAAATTGTGTACATAGCAAAACTATTTTTAAGAATAAGAAATGAAAAAGACAATTATCACATGACCTCACTCATATGTGGAATCTAATGAACAATATAGATCTAGAGACAAAGAAGCATGGAACAGGCTGCAGAATCTCAGAGGGAAGGGGGGTAAAGGGGTGGGAAGAGATTAACCAAAGAAATATATGCATATATGCATAACTCATGGACACAGACAATACTGTGGTGAAGGCCTGGGGGGAATGGGTACGAGGTGGAGGGGGTCAATGAGGAAGAAAAGGGGGACATCTGGAACACTTTCAACAATAAAGATAAGTTAAAAAAAACCTGTTTGATGAAAACTAACATGTATACATGTCCAAATACATGGATGAAAACTAAAAACTTAAAGAATAAAATAGAAGTATCAAATTTCAGTATAAAAAAATGAAAGCAATTATATAGATAAACAAAGGCCAAATGAATTTATCATACAGGAACTACAGGAACTTCGAAAGAATGTATGTTAGGACACCTGAAATTGATATAATATATAATATAATATTGGATGTCAACTGTAAAAAAAAAGTAAAAAAAAAAAAGTACATTTTAAAAAAAAGAGAAGAAAAGAATGTACTTTAGGAAGAAAAAGAATGATTGCAGAAGGATGGGTTGGTAAGTTTGTATGTAAATCCAAACATATACTGTCTATATAATAATACTGATATTGACAATAATGTCTAACTTGGATTAAAAATACAGGTCAGGATTAAATACTAATCAACAATAACATGTAAGGCAGGAGGGATTGAGAAGAGTTAAAATAATCAAACTTCCTTTTATTTTGCAAGACGTTAAGGATGTCTTGCACAAAGTTAAAGATCTTATTTTGCGCCAGGACCGGTTTGGCTCAGTGGATAGAGCATCGGCCTGCGGACTGAAAGGTCCCGGGTTCGATTCCAGTCAAGGGTAAGTACCTTGGTTGTGGGCACATCCCCAGTGGGGGGTGTGCAAGAGGCAGCTGATCGATGATTCTCTCTCATCGATGTTTCTAACTCTCTGTCCCTCTCAATTCCTCTCTGTGTAAAATCAATAAAATATATTAAAAAAAGAAAAAGAACCTTTCCCTTAAAAAAAGAAAGCTCTTGTTTTGCTTTAGAGTTTAAGTTAAATAGATTTCCTAATTACCAAGAATAATCACCAAAAGACTAGAAATAGAGTTTACGTGTTTCAAAAAATGAAGTGACAAACACAGGCCGTCTGATTTGGAATCCAGAACTCCTTTCCCTAAAAGGAAATAAGGGGCAGATTACTGACAATGAGTGTAGGAATGCCAGCTGACTGTTCAGTGGAACAGCACATTTAACATGCTGAGGGACAAAACCAGTCCCTCTCTGCACACAAGCTGTGGGGAGCGGTGGTCCTGGTGCCTGGAGGGAGCGGAGTCCACCTTCCCCACTGCTCTCACACACCTGTTGTTGGGGCTGAAGATGAAAAATGCACTGGCTTCAGGCACGGGCTCCGCCTTTTCCTTCAGGTGCAGCTCCGAGAGTGGGCGTGGCCGTGGGCCCACGGGCATCTCAGGCTCCTCCTCATCCTCCTCTCCTGAAAGAAAGCAAGCACCTTCTAAAATAACTCCATTTACTTTCACCACTGCGCTGTCTACTTCCAGATACCTTCCTACGGGCAAGAATCAAGGCATCATTTGCATTTCTGAAAACATAAGGCACCAACCAAGACAGTCTCCCAGCTTTTTCCCCATGGGCACCACGGGAGTTCATCTAGGTTAGAAATACTTTCCTGGCAGCACCCGGTTTCCCCAGAACTCTACTGGTTTTTAAACTGAAATTCCCACATTCCAGGAAACGCCTCAGTTCCATGCACTTTGGGATGGTGGATCATCCTAGTTGTAAGGTTCTAGAAAAGGAGGCCAGGTTAGCTGAGGGCACTACCAGGTAAAGGAAGGGGATGGCTTAGTTGGCTTGTGGGATCCCCTGCAAACAGCTCCATCCTTGCAGGTTCCAAGAGTTTAAAATCAACACTTTGCCTATTCCTGAAACTATGAAACATCATGTACTGTAGAGACAGTGGGGTAATAATGCTGACCTCAATAGGCCCTTCATTCAAGAGTCTAGACATTCTTTTGTCTTCCCAGCTAGTGGCCACACTTAAGATGGACCAAAGGCAAATGACTTACAAGCTCACTACCCATGGAAGAGGGCCAGTACATGCTGAGAAGGGGGTTGGGCGCTAAGAGCACGGACCCTTCAGTCAATGCCTTGGCCCTATTTCTTTCTGACTATGTTTTTCTATGAATATGTTTTTCTTTTGCTTAATCCCTTCACCTTCTACCTGTTCCATCTCCCTTTGTGCTGAAAATATTGGAGAGAGAAACCATGATGGTATAGAGTAGCCCTCATTTCTTTGTTTTCTAATCCTCATTTGAAGATATGTTTTTACTGATTTTAGAGAAAGAGAGGAAGGAAGGATAAAATAAACATAAATGTGAGAGATAAACATCCATAGATTGCATCTCATATGTGCCAACTGGGGATCAAACCTGTAATCCAGATATATGCCCTGACAGGGTCTCAAACCCACAACCTTTTGATGTATGGGACAATTCTCCAACTAACCAGCCAGGGTTATTTTTTGGCGATTAAACTTCTACATGAACATTAGCTTTATATTGTAGAAAAGAAGAACGTACAAAAGAAGCGCAGATGGAGACCAAGCTGGTTGGAGAGACAGCCATGCCCTGCATACTCTCCTCAGCTTAAAGCGAAGACAGAGGGAAAATGCCTGGCACACAGTGTGGCTCTTTATCAAACAAGAAGCATTTTGGACCCAAGGTTGTTGTTGTTTTTTTTTTTGAGGATCAGCAGAATATAGATTAAATAAATCAGATTCTCTTCTTAGAATATTTTCAGTAGAAGAGAGGCACACAATGAAAAAATGTGTATGGCCAAGGGTAGAAGTTTTTATACTGAACCTGGTATGTAAAAGAAAGGTAAAATCTCACACTTGAAAGCAAAATAAATAAAACCCGAGTTGACCTAAATCATGATATTTGCAAGTGAAATTAAAGTAAGGATCTTAAGTTTCTGCCTAGCTGTTTGTTTTCCTTTCACTTTTGCTCCAAATAGCCCAACACTTTCTTATTCATGATAATTTGATAACAGGTAATTTAATGATTATCTTAATCATTTGTATTTATAGAAAAACATATTTACTAGTGTTATGCCTTCCTAATCTCCTCCTGAGGAATTCCTTGTGCTCTTTCACCTGTAACGGTCCGCCCGGCACCTGCTCTGACCTGGCCGGCCCTTGTGTTCTCTCTGTCACAGGCTCCTTCAGGCTCCTCATCAGAAAAGGGCATTCCACTTCAGAGATTCTGCACTTGCCAGATCCTCCACCTGGAAGGCTCTTCCCTATGATGTCCACACGTGTGATTCAGGCTTCCCCATGATTTCTTCAGGCTTCAGTCCATGTGCTGCCTCCTCAAAGAGGTCTTCATGGGCCTGACAGCAAAGCAGCAGCCCCATTGCTCAAGCACAGCCCTTGGCTCTGGATCTGATGTCACCTGGCTGGCTTGTATTTTTGCACATTGTCAGTATCCCCACTGAAATGTCAGCACAGAAAAGCAGGAGTATCCTGTGCTTGCCACAGTGCCAGGCGCACAGTAGGCGCTTGCTAAGTAGTTAGTGAACGAATGTCTCTGAGGTTCCCTCCAGCTTTGTGTGTTGAGAACAGTGGTCCTGAAATAACTTCTTTCTTCTCCAATTCTCTGAACTCAAAGTCCATTCAAGGCCACTCTTGCCCATGAGCTTCCCTGGCACCCCCTACCTCACTGCTCTCCTCCTCAAGCCCCTTGTAGCAATTCGAGTGACCCCCGCTTCTGGCCCTGTACTATACATCCCCTGATGCCCTTCACATTTCTTCTTCATTGTACTCATTAATTCAAAGTCCTTAGTGACTCTTAAGAACATGCGTATGTTCACTCAAATAAATTAAAGTTACATAAAAGCACAATCTTGGCACAATGCTTTTCTTCCTGGGCAAGTAGACATTTCTAACATTGAGTGCATATAAAGCTTGGAGGCTAACACCACCCGGTGAGCTCTGGAGATTAAACTGAGAGGGAAGAACTGACTGGCCACCTCTGGCCTCTGAGGCTGCTCTGTGGATTAGGAACAGGCCCCTCCTTTGGGTGTTCCTGAGAGGGCAGGGGCCATAGCCAGCAGAGTGCAGGCTGCAGTTCAGCCCTGCTCAGCGTCTCCATGCACACCTTTGGTGCAACGTGGACAAATAAACAGAGCAACCTACAGAGAGGGGTGGTGGCAAAGTGAGCAGGAGGAAGCAAGGAGGGAAGAGCGTGTAGGATTGCTCTCCAGCTCTGACCTTTCCCTTTGGAAGGCTGGTGGAAAGTGGGGCACAAGGACGCTCACCAGTGCTGCCCCCCTGGGGACACAGCAGGGCCAGCTGCCCTAAAGCTGTGAAAGCAGTTGGGAGGACAACTGATCAGAGGAGAAGCAGGCAGGAACGAGGCACTGACAAGAGCAGAGAAAACAGGTCAAGTGACCTTGGAGGAGACATTGGGGGTGTGGCCGCACCTGGTACTCAGGGAGCCAGGAGCTGCGCAGGCAGGAAGGGGGAGCAGGAGCTGGGAAGAGAAGCTGAGTTAGCCTTGAGGGGGATGGGGTGGGGCTTAGGAGCTGCTTTCAGGGCCTGAGCAGTGGTGATGGGGAGCAGCTGAGGCAGGACAGCCTTGGTTATGGACCAGAGGTGGGAGAAGTGTGGGGCCCAAAGAAACAAAGGCCTGGGTAGAAAACAGGGTAGAAAAAGGTGTACATGTGATCAGGAAAAACAATAGATCCTAAAGACATCTAAAGAATCCCTAGGAGTCAGCTTTTCAGTTGCAAATAGCTTTTCAGTTTAAAAGCAAAACCGTTCCAAGAATCCTTAAAGCCAGTCAACAGAGACACTTCTTTGATGACTGATGCAGGGACAATAGTATCCTTATTAGTCCATCCCCACGCCCCCCACCTGCTTTTTATTTATTTATTTATTTCATTAGAGTAACAAAGAAGAGAACAGCCATGAGTCTATTTAGGATAATGGAATTTGTGGTTATTGTCCTAGGTATGTGTCTGCCCCAGCCCTGAGGGAGAATGGCAGTGTGCAGGGCCTCCAGAAGGCTCAGGCAGGCAGGACAGACACCTTAGGGCCCAGAGGGATTTGTTTTTTTTATTGTCTTTCTCCTTAAACATTAATAACAATCATCATCCTTATAATAATCCTATGAGTACAGAGCCTCGCATGGTGGACCTCCATACACAATTCCAACAACTATTGATAGTTTGCCCATCTTGTTTCATTTACTTCTGTTCCCATTTTTAAAAAAATATTGGATTATTTTAAAGAAACCTCTAAATATTTCAGACTCCAGCTATAAACACTTCAGCATTTTAAAAATAGAATTATAATGATATCGTTATACTAATAAGACTAACAAAAACTACTTAAATCGTTTAGTTCCCAGTCCATGTTCAATTTCCCCCAATTATCTAAAACAATGTCATTTCAAAGTTTATTGATTCATGCAGGATCAAGACAAAATCCTTCCATTGCATTTGGCCAATAATTCTCTGTCTTTGAAATTCTGTGATGGTTTCCACCCAGATGGGCTTTAAAACTTCAAAAAGCTTAGTGCCTGCACCTGGACACACCTTCCCTGCCCTCCTCCCAGCCCAGAGCCACCCCATTTCCCCGGTAGAGGGAGGTGAGAGAAGGGAATGACCACCAGGAGCCTGCTCCCAGGGACAACTTGGCTGCTGGAGCCCTTGCAGGGAACACAGCAGAGAACCCGGGGAGGGAAAGCAAAAGGAAAACCTAGCTCTGCTTGTAAGTGGCCACCAACTCAAATATAGCCTAGCCTACACAGAGCAGAAAATGTCAGTCACATCAACAGTCCCTTATTGCGTGGAATTGAGTGCGAGCTTGAAACTGGTGGAAATAATCTTCGATTGTAGGTAAAAGGGAGGCAAACCCAGGGCTGGTACAGGATGTGGGGTTGCAGGAGGCAGAGAGGTGAACCCTGGAGGGAGGCGGAAGGAACTCTCACATCCCAAGCCTCCCAGCAGAGCCTGCCTGCCATGGACAGATCAGACAGAAGATGAGAAGGCCGAGTGGCACTAGCTCTTTTCATAATAAGAGACCTGAAAGCGGTTTACAAAGTGACAAGTGGGACATCTGTGGTGGCAGCTGTCCTTGTACTCAGCACTGCCTCCTGAGTAAGGACAAGGCAGATTTGGAATTTACTATTATTATTTAGTGTGCATGATGCTGCGACATATGTTAGACTAATGGATTATATAATGTTAATGATGATTTTACAACATAGGATATAATAAAACCTTAAATGTATACATAATCCATCTTCCAAAGGACACGCCAGCACTGCTCAAGCCTAATTTACTCAGTCTCACACTGTTATTATGAGCAAACCAGGAGCAGTGTTTCCCCCAGATGATCATGGGTAACGCTCAGTGCAGACTGGAGACACTGAGCAGCACAAGGTCCCTGTAGAGGAAGACTGGAACCATTGGCCCCTAACACATGGTTACTTTCACATGGCTTTAGAATTTAGGTCTCCTCCATTCCTTTCCTGCCCACCCCCAACTGCCCCCCGTGGCAGGCAGGGGAACAGTACCTGTGGCTTCCGGGTTTGGGTAGACACCCTTGTCCTCATTTTCATTGGGCTGGAAGTCATCCACATTGATCTAGGCAGCCAAGGGAGAGAGAAGGAAGAATCCAGTCAGACATGACCCAACTTTTAGAGGCTGCATTAGCATCAGTGGCTGAGTTGTTGATTCAAAAATATATCCTCATGACTTTGCACAGACCCCCGAGACATTAACAGAGGTGGGATTCACTCACTCTGCCTGCTCTTCACATTCCTGCTCTCCTGATCCACCCTCACTGCTCTTATCCACCCATCTCTTTCCCTCCTTGCTCTTTTCTGTGGGTGTCTGACCTGGGGAGACGGTCCCTCCCCTCCCAGGTCCTGGAAGGAAACAGTGCTCACCTTGGTGGTGGGTGGGGACTCTCCGTCAGCTGTAATGGATTTCAGCTCAATTTTCTCCTCCTTGGTCTCCTCCACTGCTGGCTTCTCCACCACCTCCTGTTTCTTCTCTGGGCTGGCAGTCCTGGCCGGTCAGCAGGAGAAAACCATAAAGGATGTTTACTGGAGTGACAGGGAACAGGGGTAGGGAACTGCCCTGAGGTCTATTGGGGACAATGAGAGCAGATTCCTGTGCCTGTGTCCATCTTCCTTCTCCCGACACAGGCAGGTGCAACTCCACAAATGCTACTGGGCTGGGCCCAGGATCCAGGCAGCTGGCCACACGTCGCTGCCTGTACTCAGTTGGCCTTTCCCAGGCCCCGTCTAAGTCAGAGAAAGATTCTGGGAACTCATTCAGGCTTGGCTCCTGAGAACTCGGCCCAGAACCCAGCAGATCTGTGGCCTAGGACAGTCCCATCTTAGACAATGACAAGACAATGGAGGGCCAATTTTGCCTTCAAAACAGTGAGGAGGAATCTCTCTTTCACCTGGAATTGCAATTCCTCACTGAGTGGCTGCCTCCTTCCTTCTCATCCTTTGCTCCCCTCACCTAAGATGACCTCTTTTCTCCAAGGAGAAAACCACAACTTTCCACACTGCTGGGGGAATGCAACACCTTCACAGAGGCTGCGACTCATGCTAGTCCTCACTTTGGAGCAATGCCTAGGAATTAGGGGAGAGCCCCAACCTATTCTAGGAAGTCCCAAGCCCAATGCCCTTCTGGTAGCAACACAGGCCAGCAGAGGCCATGCTCACACCTCTCTTTACCACCAATGGGAATGGCATTCCAGAACTGGGCCCTGGGGTCCTGGGCATGGGGCAGCTTAGAGGGTTACCTGGCCAGCTTCTTTCTCTCCTTCTCTTCTTCTTCCTCCTTCTGGGCAGATGTGAGGCTCTCAGCATCAGCCAGGTTGTCCACAGCAATGGCCAAGAACACATTCAGTAGGATATCTGTTTGTGTCCATTCTTAAAGAAAATGACCCTTGGCCTTGGGCTTTTCGGTGGGCACAGGGGGCTGGGGGGCGTGCAGGACATGCAGAGATAGAGTTCCCCACAGAGGGAGCTCAACAGTGACCCAGGGGTGCTGAGCTCAGGAGTGTCTCTCCTCCATCTCTTTGCCTTCCCACCATGCTACCAGCTACCTGGAGTTTTCTAAGGGGTGGAGAGTGGGCTGGCTTTCAGGCTAGAGCAGGGAGGGAGGAAGGCAGTGCTCTGCCTCGCTCTTTAATTGCTGCGCTTCATCACTGGTTCCCCACAGAGATGGCTGGCTGTAATTGACATTATAAAGAGCATTGTTTCTAACAACGCAGAAGGCTCTTAAGAGCTGTTCATTACAGGGCACTGAGGAGGTGGTCTGATATCCCTGCCAACTCTTAATGTGAGCCGCCCCTACAGAGGCCCTCAGGGGTGCGGTGGAGCTCAGCAAATTTGACTGAAGTGGCTGTTTGCCCTTGTCTTCTCCCTCTACCCCCAACTTTGAATGGAAACACTGGGTCAGAGAACTGTAGAAGCAAAGAAAGGATAGCTGAGCAGGGACTTAACGTCTGTTAAGTCTGACCTCCTGCTCCAGGCACGACAGTCATACCATTTCACACACAGGAAACCACAACCAGGGATGGGGGGTATGTCCAAGAGGCTGCTGGGTACCTGCCCTTGGGCCTTCCCCACTGACCCTCACAAGGACCCATTGAGGAGCAGTTACTGTCACTTTATCACCCCAGTGTATCAGCAGCAGCGGTCACCCAGCTTGTCTTTGGGGCCATGGCCATGCTTTCTGCATTACATTCAGCTGTGATTTAGACCCCGGTCTACTTGGCCGCCCACCTCAGCACAGAGCCTCACAGGGTTACCACCAGGGGAAAGAAGAGTACCCACATGTGAGACCCTAAAATACTGCCCGTGGACCTGCCTAGTGAGGCGCGTCCAATTCTCCCTGTGACCAAAGGCTGGGAGAGTGGCTTCAGAGGGAGGAGCATTGACCAGAAGGCAGGGGGAGAGGTGATGGTCATGTCAAGGACGAGGTTCAGTCAACAAAGCCTCCCATCGCCACGAGGCCAGGCAGCCAGGGCAGCGAGGGCGTTCACACCTGGGTGGCTCACATGGGAGTTCTGTTGTGAGAGGGGAGGATGTTGTTTACCTGAACCAGGAGGAGGACATGCCTCCTGGAAACGGGCAGAACAGCACAGGAAGATAAACTTACATCCCGCCTGTGCCACAGCTCCTGGCTCCTTCTGAGCCCCTCTCCCGCTAAGGAGGTCTGGGCTGGGAACTGCGTTCTCCCCCAGAAGATGCATCTCCCCACTTGCCTGGGGGCCCTGTGGACAGGCAACTAGTTTTCAACCCTGAGTCATGACCTGCGGGCACACCTATTTGACATCGGGCTGTAGGCTGAGGGAGGGTGGGTGGCAGGGATGGGGAGGCAGGAGCAAAGGATACAGTTTCCACAGATGAAGAGGATGATGAAGTAAATACAGACTAACATCCCTGGAAAAGAGGGGCCGCCATAAGCCATGATCCCATCATACATCACCGAATTCCAGTCCTCCCCGGTCAGGATCTGAATGACACATTCCCACCAATAAGGGACACAGTGTTAGACCAACAGCAAACCCAAAACTCCCCTGCCCTGTCCCGCTCTGCTAACAAGAACGCCTGAAATCTCCTTCCACTTCTGGCCCTCCTGCCCCAGCTCTCCTCCCTGGGCCACTGAGCTGGACCTGGCAGGCTGACCCTGACCTCAAAGTGCATGGCCACCGGCACACTATTATTTGAGAAGTGACCCACAGGGCTTCCTGGTCAAAGCACCTCCCACTGCCCACATATGGTGCATGAGATGGCCACCGCTAGCCATTCCTTGGGTTCAGGCATGGCCTCTTTACAAATGTGAATGTCGTCCATTGGGAGAATAACACACAACCCAGTTCTCTCCAAACATTAGTCACCTGGGTCCAAGCTTTAAGATTTTGGCAACATCCACATTGTTATTAATTTTTATCTGTAAATCAACCTACTTTTAAACTTAAACAAGTGCTACTTTAGATTTGCCCTAAACCAAAATATCTATGAAAGCACAAATTTGATAGGCTAGCTATATATTTCTAGGGGCAACCATGGTGGATAGACAGACAGAGCTCCATCCTTCCCTCTCACAACAGAGTAGTCTGCTTTTATTTGTTTATATTTTGGACTTCATATAGAATCTATTTGAATAAAGGTTCTCAAGGCTAGGAAAAGTTTTTAAACCTCTCAATTAGATCTTTTTTCAATGGTTCACCCAACAGGGACATTCCACAGGGGCCTGCAGGTGGGGGAAACTATAGAAGGAACTCAAGGTTCCCCTGGCATGGACCCTCTGTGGCTGATCTAGCTGGCTTTGGCTGCCCGTACAAGGGTGAAGCTTCCCCCAACCTTGCCAGGCTCCTCATCCTGCTCCCCACTTCCCCCACCACTCGATTACCCCCGCCCCCGCCTCCCACCTCAGGTCATAAGCCCAGCAGAGGAGAGTCCATACCTGAAACACGGTGAGGAGGGACTGGGGAAAGTTATCAAACGTGCTCCTCCGAGTCTGCATCTCATCAAAGTTGAACTTTCCTCCAAAGAGCTGCATCCCCAGCAGGGAGAAGATGATGATGAAGAGGAAGAGCAGTAGGAGCAGGGAGGCGATGGAGCGCACGGAGTTCAGCAAGGATGCCACCAGGTTGCTTAAGGAGTTCCAGTACCTGAGGACCAAATGAGAAATCAACACCCTTCTCCTGTGCTTTCCTGGACTTCTTTCCTCATTCACACACCCGCTAGAGTTTAAGGTAAGTTTCAGCTCCCTCCTCGTTTCCCCTTTCTTGGTGTGGTGTTCAGAATTGGGCTGGCAAGCTCCCAATTGGAACGTGCAGCTAGTTGATTCAAGGTTCCAGGATTGGTGACGTGTAATGGAGAAGAGACGGTCTGACCTAGTTCTGCTGCTGCTAGCTGTGTGTGCCTTTGGACAAGCCACTTAACCTCCTGTCCTTCTGCCTCCCGCTGAGGAAATAGAGAGAATAACCCACACTTCAGCAAGTTATTGGGAGGATTACATGAGATATTAAGAAATAAAAAGCTTCCAGTATAGTGGCTGGTGCACAGGTGAAAAGGATAGTTATACTGGTATTGTTACCACTGGGGATTTTAAATAGAAAAAACACTTTCCACCCCCCAGGAATGCTCCCCTCAGCAGCTGTCCAGCACAGGCAAGAGTTAGGTCACCCACAGGTAAGAGAGGGGGCATCACTTAGCAGTTCCCAAGAGTACCCTGCCCAAAAAGTGTGTTTTGTTTTTTTAAAGCCTCTCTTCTGAAGATCCTGATTCAATAGCTGCAATTTGAGGCTCAGACATCTGCATTTATTTTATGTTTTCTTTATTTTATTTTTTCATCACCATCACCATTTATCCTCCTTGTACCCTCTTTGACCTCTACCCACTCCTCTCCCCCTCACCCCAACAGTCATCACACTGTTGTCTGTGTCCATGAGTTCTTTTTCTTTCTCTTTTGCTCAATCCATCCACTCTGACAACATCCCCCTCTCACACCAGAGCTGTCTGCCTGCTATCTACCTACCAGTCTGTCTCCATTTGCTTGTTAATTCAGTTTGTTCATTAAATCCCACAGATGAGTGAAATCATGTGGCACTTGTCTTTTTTTAACTGGCTTAGTTCACTTAGCATTATGTTCTCCATGTCCATTCATGCTATCCCATGGCTGAGTAGTATTCCATTGTGTAAATGTGCCACAGATTTTTTATCTACTCATCTACTGATGGACACTTGGGCTGCTTCCAAATCTTGACTTTTGTAAATAACACTGCAATGAACATTGGGGTGCATATATTCTTTCAAATTAGATAATCTATTCAACAAATGGTGTTGGGAAAATTGGACAGATAATGTGCAAAGTAAATGAAACTAGATTACCTTCTTACACCACACACAAGAATAAACTCAAAATGGATTAAAGACTTAAATGTTAGACTCAAACCATAAATTACCCCCGCCCCCAAATCATAAAACATAGCAAAATCTCAGACATTTATCATAGCAATATTTTTCTGCTATATCTCCTTGAGCAAGGGAAACAAAGGAAAAAATAAACAAATGGAACTACAGTTTGAATGTCAATATGAACTCCTTTGATGCTCCTTTCTCCTTCCAAGTTGGGCCAGTCATTCACCCTCTGTTTTTAGAACATCATACATTTAGTTGCATCTGTTCTACAAATGCAATGAGTCTTTTCATTGTGACAGTCTCGTCTCACCAGAATTGGCTCTGAGTTCTTGAGGGCTGGAACCAGAAGTTCTGTTCTCCTATTTTCTCCATCACTGTCCCCAGATAAAGTCTGTGTAACCCAGGACATGTGGCGGACTGCCTGGGGTCCCCATAGGCTGGAAGTTGTAGTCATTGTTTTGTTTAAACAAGAAGTGAGAGAGCCTTTCTAGGGCTAGACTGCCCATCCCGTTTATGCCTGAGCAGCATTCCCAAACGTGCTGGAGAGGAAACCACTGAGAACAGTGACGTGTTCCTTAAACACTGATTTCCAGGACCCCCGGGAACCATGACATCATACTCTCTGGCTCTTGGTCTCGCGTGATTCTCTTGCGACCACTCCAGCATTTGTTGGGTCAACTAATGTTTAGAAACCAGAATTTTAGAGCATATTTATAATGAGAATTTCCAGCGGTCAGAAGGGAATGTGTCGATGTAGATTAAGGTGGGAAAGGCAGGGGGACGAGGTTTGGGTGTGGTGGGAACAGATGGGGTGGTGGTGGGACTGCCCAACAGTTACAAGTGGCAATTTGTATTAATACCTCCCCCATATCATTTCTTTCCCTAAATCTTTGGGTCAAGTGTCTGAGATTCCTGACGGTTCCACTGCCAGATCACATGTCAAACTGTAGGATGTCCCCCTAAAATGTATTCATGTAGATCATGTTTGTGCTGTTTGCCTTCAAACCCCTGTTGCTTCCCGTTCAACCCGGGCAGGGTGGGGTTCGCCCGTACTGGGCTGCCACCTGCACCTTTGTTCCTTCAAACATCATGAGGGTGCCCAGCATGTTGAACAGAAGCCTGTCCGTCCTTCATGTGCATGTGAGGGGCTCTGAGACCAAGACAAAGAGATTGCGAATGAGGTACTGTGGCAAAGGACACCCAGGGCTCAGAAGAGAAGCAGAGTTGGGGCTGGGCATGCCTGAGCTGGTAGCAGGTAAGATGTAAGAGACATCTTATCTGCTGAGATATGGAGGGCCCGGGCAGCCTCCGGGAAGGGTGGCATGAAATACCATTTAGGCAAAGTGGTAGGCAGCCCTTCCAGACCCTCAGGCCCTCTCCTTAGTGTCAGTCTGGTTCTTGACAGCCATTACAGCCCTGGCCTGAGGTCTGGTGCTGTGCGGGCTCAGAGGAACATTAGCTGGTGGTAAACTAGAGAGGTTAATGGCATACTCACAATCCACTGCGGCTTTTATCATAATTCATTACAAGTATGAAACATACTCACACACCAAAAAGGAAAGAGCAGCTGCAGAACCAAGTGTGAATGTCCTGGACCTCGGAGAGGAGCCCAGGAGAACTCAGCGCCCTCCCTCCAAGAACACCGCACACCAGACTACAGGGACACAGCCCCAAAGCACATGCCACCCATCCTCAGACATGCCACCTGCGCAGATATCCTTGGGGTCAATTTTCCTTTTCAGCCCTTCGGAGGCTCTGAATCACTGCCTCCAAAGTGTGTCTTTGCCCACCCATCCCCCGCCAGACCCAGCCCACTGCCTTCCCCTTCCCCTTAAAGCTGGGGCATGTAACAATACAGGAGTCCGTCCATCCGTGTCGTCGTCCGTCCCCCCCCGTCCCCCCCCCCCCCCCCGATCTGACCGTTTTTTCTTTACCTAAATTCTCTCACTTGCTGACCCTGGCTTCACCTTTGTTACCTCCCTGGGTTTAAGTTGCTACCATGTGTTCAGGGGTACTTGTATCTCCCTCCCTCTCCTGCTCCGAGCCTGTTCCTGGTTTGAGTCCTGATATCCCTGTGGCTGGTGCAAGGAGAGGCTAGGGCAACACCGAGCTCCTCACTGATGAACCTGCTTCCCCAGGGTTTCTCACATGACTGAATCCTTTCCCCCTTTCCTGCCTGCCCCTCCCATTCTTGAGATGGTGTACAGATGCCCATACTACACACTGAAATTTGCTTTATAAACATGCCACAATAGATCATTGCCACCAACACAAGGAGATCTAATGTTTGGAGGGTGTCTGGAATGACGGAGTCCTTCCTTAAGGGGTTCTGTTTTCTTGCGTTTCGGTCTGTTTCGTTCTTGTCTTTTTTCTGGTTTTTCTCTCTCTCTCTCTCTCTGGAGATACTATCTATCTATCAGCTCGCTAGCGCTAGCGCTACTTACCCGGACGTCATGAATTCCGTCCTCCTTCCTTCCTTAAGTCCTTTCCTTCGTTCCTTCTCTCCTCCTTCCACCCCACTCCCTCATCCCCCCCCCCCTCTCTCTCTCTCTTTCTTTCTTTCTTTTTCTTTTCTTTTCTTTTCTTTTATTTATTTATTTATTTATTTATTTATTTATTTATTTATTTATTTATTTTTACCACTCAGGACAAATTTAGTTTTGGCCCTGTGTGAGACAGAGGGGAGGTAGGGTAGAGTGTTTGCAAAGCATGCAGAGTATTGGTACTGTTACTGGGAAGGTCTTTCCTTTAAAGCGAGCCTGATGCTCTGCTCTGTACCTAGAATGAAAAAGTCCCAGCCCTGAGCTATTTGAACTAAAGGATCACAAGATGAAAGTTCCAGTTCAAACAAGGCTCAGGCCACTTTCTGTCATTGGAGAGAAGGGAGAATTCCACAGGACTCAAGCCAGAGACAGACTCAGAGCAAGAGAGGGACGGAGATACAAGTATCCTTAAATGGATGGCGGCAACCAATTGATGCTTTTCTCTCACATCAATGTTTCTCTCTCTCTCCCTGCCTCTCTCTAAAATCAATAAAAAGATACCCTTGGGTTAGGGGGGAAAATAAATCAACGTTTCCAATTACATAGAAAGGTTTACCTTTTAGGCAAAAAGTGGACAAGGGACAGCAGCAGAAAATTAGGCCAGTGTTTCTCAAAGCGAGGTCTCTGGACCACCAGCACGAACTGTCCACTGGCTGGTCAAAATCCCTAGAGGTGGGTCTTTAATGAGACCTCCTAACGAGTTCAACTAAGTATGAGAATCACAATCACTGGTCAGAACACACTGTGAACAGTAGTGAGACATCGCAAAGTCTTCTCTGAGAGATGGTAAAAGAATCTTGTTTGGTGGCAGGACCACGCACAGATGACCCGCCTCAAGGCCCAGCACCCACCCCAGGCCACGTCATATGCCTTTTCTTGGCCTCTGGAGTGTATTAGGGACAAGGTTCAGAGGGATCATGGGATTCCCCTGCATAGTTAGTCTTGTTGTTGTTTTCCAGAAGCCCCCAGAGGGTTTGGAGACTGGAAAACAGGAAGATGATGGCCCCTGCCAAAGCTTCCAATTAGATAATGAAATTATTCTGTTTACAGAGATCTGAAAATAACACTAATCTTTCTCATGGAGCAACTATGGAGGCTCTCCAATAAAGATAGAGTTAAAAAATAATTTCTTGGCCATAGTGCCAGATTATAAATAGATAAATCATTGATTAAAAATAGAATGAATGTTAAATCTCTTGAAGATGCTATGACAATATCTAAAAGCAAAGTTCTTTTATATAGAAATTAAAACAAAGCAAAACAAAAACAAAACCCCCAAACACATGGACTTTGAAAATTATTTAAGAGGTCCTAGAAACTGCAAATTAAAAATAGCTATCACCAGACCCCAGGAGAAGAAATTAAAATCAGCAACTATATAACAAGTATCAGTATGCTAAGTCCCATAAGTTCTGTCTCAGGGACACAGACAAGACAGTTTAGCTGTCAACTTTGAGTTCATGGTCATGAACTGCACAGAACCAGAAGCCAGGCACACAGAGGTGCCTTTTTTGTTTGTTTGTTTTGTTAATCCTCGCTTGAGGATATTTTTTCTCATTGATTTTTTTAGAAAGAGTAGAAAGGAGGGAGGAAGGGGGAAAGAGAAAGAGAGGTGGGGAGAAGAGAAACATCGATGTGAGAGAAACACTTCAATTGGTTGCCTCCCATGCGGGATCTGATGGTGGCCAGGGAATGAACCTGCAACTCAGGTTCAATGCCCTTGACTAGGCATTGAACCCAGGACCCTCCAGTACACAGGCTGATGCTCTAACCACTGGGCCGTGCCGGCCAGCATGCCTTTTAATCCCGCTTTGCCCCTGAGCAGTTTGTGTGGCCTTGGGAAAGTGAGTTAACTCTAAGCCACAGTTTTCTCATTTGCAAAATGGGAATAATGATCATATGGCGTATCCGCACCTTTTCTTACAGGTAATTGTGAGGAGCAAATGCACTTGAGTTCAGTCACCCTCTCATCACAGAGCCAGCCTCGATGCACGTTAACAATGATTGTTACTATATTTTTACTTTTATTTTAAACCAAGAATTTTTGAAATGCCAAGACATTCAGGACATTTATAAAGAGTTCTTTTTTTGGGGGGGGAGGGGGGAGAGGGGCATTGTTTGCTCGGGAGGGTCAAACTTGTGGATTTAAATTCTGCATGCACTTTCAGTCTATTGTCTGGTACTAAACCTTCCCCTCCTGTTCCCAGGTTCCACAGCAGGGCTTGTCACAGTATTACATGGTGGAGAAACAAAAGTAAGAGAGTATGTATGTGTAGGCTGTGTTCTCTGATAATAACAGTTACTATTAGGTTAATAATAAATGCTCCGGATGTGTCTCCTCTGCCTGGCACTCTTCTGCCTGAAGTGATCACTTTACATCCTTCTCCCATTTGACCCCAACACCACCACAGGAACAAGCAAGCTTGTGCGAGGTGCTTGCTGAGAACCCTTTACAGAGAACAGTAACACCTCGGGATGTTGTTCAGAACACTCTGAGCAGGATCTGCCTAACTCCAGGGCCCTGAATGGGAGAGACGCCCCTCCTTCCCGCCCACGCTCGCTTCCTAACACAATCCTGATGACGGTCACCATGCGCCTGCTGTCAGCCAGGCCCCACAGCAGATTCTTCCGGAGAGGGACTTGCTTCCTTCCACATGCTCTGACATGGGCTGACCACAACCCACAGTGAGGAATATATATTATACTGCAACTCAGGTGTAGATCTCAAAGATTTTGAAAAACACATGTGTTCATGTGAGGCCTTCTGATGTTTTCTTACTCTATTTCAGTCTTTCATGAAAAGCGAGAATGTGGAGAAATTGGAACCTTTATACATCACTGATGAGAATGTAAAACAGCCTAGTCTCTGGAAAACAGTTTGGTGTTTCCTCAAAACCTTAAACACAGAGTTTTTAAATGACCTGAATATTCCACTGCTAAGCATATATCCAAGAGAAATGGAAACATGCACCCATACCAAAAACTAGAACATCAGTTACTCATAGTTGCATTTTTCATAGTGGCCAAAAGGTAGACATAAACCAAATGTCCACCAAGCAAGGAATGAATACACAAAATGGGGCATATGTCTATATATTGGCATGTTATTCAGCCAAGAAAGGAATGGAGTATTTTCCATCCTACCAAGTGGGATAAACGGGAGACCATCCCGCCAAGTGAAAGAAGCTAAACACCATGCACTGTATGGTCCACACAGGTCATTGCTCACAATAGGCAGACCTCCAGGGACAGAGAGTCAATGAGTAATTGCTTCTGGGAGGAAAGTGAGGGATGAGGAATGGGTATGGGACCTCTTTTTGGGGTGATAAAAATGGTCTAAAACCAGACAGTGCTGATGGTTGCAAAACTCTGAACATATATAAAAAATGAATTGTATAAAGAGGTGATTTATAAGTATGTTAATTACATCTTACTAAAGCTGTTTAAAAATGATGGTTGTGATCCAATAAACTGATTTCAACATCCCAAATGGGTCAAAACTCAGTTGAAAATGATTGTCCTAGAATATGCTTCCCACTCCCGACCCCTGCCCTGCCTGTCATCTGCATGGGAATCACTGCGGAACCTGGCGGACGGACAGACAGGCAGGGGGTGAGCGTGGGGAAGGAGGGATGAAAGCCCTCTGTAGCACAATGTCCACGGCCCTTCTTCAGTTAAAGGCCCTTGGAACCAAGCCTGCACCTGCTCGACAGTGTTTCTGTCTCTCACAGTTGGGGGGTCACGAGAACAGAGCTGGGGGAGATTCCCGGGGGAGCTGGCTGAATGGGGTGGGTGTCCCCGTTGTTCCCCTCCAGCTTGCCTCAGATTCCAATAGGAAGGCTCAATCGCCAAGAGCCACCTTGTGACCTTGGGGTGGCGGGCAGGCCTCAGGTTGGCAAAGCAAACAGGAGACGGGGTCCCGATGCCATCTTGAAGCCTCCTGGGCTTCCTGTATGTGGCTGAGCAAATCCCTAATTTGCTTAGAGCAATGAGTGAGTCTCTGGTAGATTCAGTCAAAAGGCCTTCTAAGTGATATGCCATGTACAGTGAATCAAAGCTGCCTCCCTGATGGAGCCAAGGGCGGACCCCTCTGGGAACAGCAGCAGCTCTCCCGCCCAGGCCTTTCCGCCTCCCTGCCCTCCAGGCTGTCTCCTCGAGTCCCGTGAGTGGAGGGCAATACCTGGTGATTTTAAATATCCTCAGGAGCCGAACACATCTCAGCACAGAGATGCCCAACGGGGACATGACCTTGGTCTCCACCAGGATGGTCTCCAGGATGCCCCCGCACACGATGAAGCAGTCGAAGCGGTTGAAGAGGGACACGAAGTAGGCCTGCAGGCCCAGGCTGTACATCTTCAGCAGCATCTCCGCGGTGAACAGGGCCAGAAGTGCCTTGTTGGCCGTGTCTGGCAGGTCCGGGAGTGGGATGGGATCCAAACAGGTGCAAGAGGAGGGGATATGGGGAGGAGGAGGAAGAAAACACAGTGATAATCAGCACTGAAAAAACAAATTCTCCCTTCCCAGCCAGGACACCTCTCCCATCCACAGCCAGCAAGACAGAACAGGCAGGGCCAAATTGATGGGAAAGAGGTATCCATTTACCAAATACACCATCTCCCTTATCTACAGGAGATATAGTCCAAGTCTCCCAATGGATGACTGAAACCGGAGATAGTACTGAACTCTATGTTCACTGTTTTTCCTGTACATTCACACTCCGACAGTGAAGGCTTCACAATACTACTCAGAACAGTGTGCAATTTTATTTTTTTATTTTTGTTAATCTTTGCCTGAGGGTATTTTTCCATTGATTTTTATAGAGAGTGGAAAGGGAGGGGGGCAGAGTGGGGAGAGAAAGAGAGAGAGAAACATTGTTGTGAGAGAGACACATTGATTGGTTGCCTCCCACACATGCTACCACTGGGGCTGGGGATCCAACCTGCAACCCAGATGCCTGCCCTCGACCAGAAATTAACCTGCGATCCTCCATTGCATGGGGTGATGCTCTAACCGCCTAGCTGCAATTATTTTTGGAATTTTCCATTTAATATTTTCAGATCACGATTGACCACAGGTAACTGAAACCTTAGAAAGTGAAACTGAGAGTAAGGGGGCGGGGGGCACCATATCTACTACAAAAGCTTTGCAGCCTTTCTTTCTCCTCACAGCAGCTCTGAGGGTATTAGTGCCCATTTTTCAGATATAAGAAGCGAGGTTCAGAGAGATGGTACTCCCCCCAACTAATAAGCCAAGAGGCGAAGCCAGGCCATCAGAGTCTGGAGTGCACCCTGGTCTGCCTGTGAGGCCCTGGCCAGCGAGGGCCTCTTTGAGGGGTTGCTCTGGGGACTGGGCACTAACTACCGGCCGAGGAGGCTCCCCGTGTTCAGGCCACTGCTGCCCTTCACCCTACGTTTTTGCTCACCTCATCCTCACGTGTGCAGCGCACCTGGACTTACTGCCACCTATACCTCCAGGCAACAGGAAAGCTAAAGAATTGAAAACTCATTCTGGGAAGTCGGCAGCCAAGGGTCTGAGAGAGCCAAACCAGGTGTAGCATGTGTCCATGTCACCTGTGGGGCAGGCAGATGGCATGGACCCAGCCAGGTGAGCCCCGCTTGTTTACCATGAGGTGTGTATTTTACTGTGGGGCTTTTGAGCTGCCAGGCCCTTGGTGACCCCAGCAAAGAGTCCCGGCCCCTGGACACTTTCCCATCCATCTTCTGCATGTGATGGCTCACTTTTTGGGATTCAAGCATGTCAAACTCTCGGCCCGCGGGCTGCATGCCTTGCTTATTTGGCCCGTGTTAGCCTTTGAGTTTGACATGCTTGTGCTAGAGTAAACCAGGATGGCGCCAGAGGCTGCTTCTCACCTTGGACTTCTGTGAGCCAGTGCGGCTGGTTGTAATGCTCTGAGGCAATGGTGAGCGTGTTGAGGAACACCAGGAAAATCACCAGCCAGTAGAAGACATTGGACTTGACCGCGGCACGACACTTCCTTCTGCAGAACCGATTCCACCGGCGCCAGTAGCGACTGGAAAGGGGCGGCGGGGTGGTGAGGAGAGAAGGGTGGGAGGGCTATGAAATTCAGATTTCCCTACATTATTCCACTGTGTAAGCATGACCGAGAATCACTACGCTAGATGAACCCTAGCAAACACATCACATCTTGTAATTCCATGGTGGCGTGTTTAAAGCGCACCCCTAATTTCATCCTCTCAATGCAGAGAAAATATGCAGCTGCATGTGTAACTCTGAGACCAAACGTTGAACAAGTGCCTGCACTGCAACTGACAGAAGGCAGAGGATGCTTGGGAGGGCCACACAGAGGGCCGCGCTAAGGACTTCGAGAGGGAGAATGATATGATGAGGTTTGATTTGAAAATAAAACAATGAACACAAACAACAACTCTGCCAACTTCTACTCAAAGAGCAGTGGGAAGAATGCTCTCTCAGCTGTCCAGGCTGAAGAGGAGGAAGGCAGTAGCTTTATCCATGGAAAAGAGGACACTGAATTAATATGAATTTTGGAGGCAAAACCAATAGGCCTTTGAGCCTGCCTGGGTGTGCAGGATAAGAGAGAAAGGGGTGGAGAAAGGTATGGAAGGGAGAGCCGGCATTTTTAGCTAGGGTGACTGATAGAGTGGTCCTTCTAGCCAGGAAGGTATCAACACAGAGAAACAGTGCTCTGGGCAGGGAGGTTGCTTAGGGAGCTCAGCTCTGGAAATCCACTTGAGGGGCTGGCAGGTACTGTAGAGAGAGCCAGTGGCAGTGGAAGATGGGAAGAAATGAAGATGGTTTGGGTCATAGAGAAGGCAGGTGAGAAACAGCAGAATCGTGGAGCAATGTCCATGAACATCTGCACTCACACCTGTATTCTAAGTTTCCAGGGAGGGAGACCTCTGCTGTTTATGATCCCTTCACTCATCCCAGATTACTTCTACCTACTGTCCCTCAACAACCCTTTACCAAATCCTGATACAACGAGATTAGAGATGTGGGCAGCGCCTCTGGGAAGGGTGTGGTTTCCTCAGAACCACAGGGAGAACCTTGTTTTTTGCCTTGCAGAGCAGGGAGGGAAAAGCAGGGAGGGTTCACTGGGTCATGTTCTGATCTGGCCCCTATTATCACTGTGGGTGCTGGAATGCCCGCTCCAGTGAGCACCTCACCTTTGTGGAGGACACTTACCTGCTACCTAGGGAAAAGTCACTACACAGGGAAGAAATGGCTCGGGTCAGAAAATTATAGTTCCCAAATGCACTTCCCAGCCTGGGTAAGTGGGAGGACACGAGAGGGCGAACAGAGGGGCAAAGGAAGGGGCCTGAATCCCAGGTGGTTGGTGCTTAGAGAGCTGCCACTTTTGGAGGCGGCCAGACCTCGGTACGGAGGAGTCTTTCTCACCTGGGTGGGACTCTGATTCTCCCATTACTGTGGTTATTAATATTGTGGAGAAATTTGGTAACACAATGTTTTTCCCCCTGAGTAATGAATTTTTAGGACAGAGTCATATCGGATCTTAAATAGCTTAAACCATAGTTTCAAAAAATGTTTTAGATACCATGTCATGTTACAGAAGTCACTGATGCTTGTATGCAGAGACCAAAGGAATCAAGTATGCTTTCTTTTACATGTTAGGAGCCAACTCCGAGTCAGTTTATGCTGAGAACTTAGATTAAATTCCTCTTTCCCCGGGGATCGGGGTTAGTGGCTGCGGAGGTGGCATGGTCAGGCCTGCCCACGGGTCTGGGACTGCTCTGCTCGAACCCCTGAAGGAGAGGCTGCCATGGGCAGGTGGAATCCCTAAGTCGTGCGGTTCCCCTGCACAGCCATTCACGAGAGTCACGTGGATTTGAGCTGGGGTGGGGGTGGGGTAATTACTAACCCGAGAAAGTATTTAAAGATAATTATACACCTCCCACTCTTCAAAATATAGCTTTGCTTGACAACTGGTTTCCTGGCAACGCTTCCTAGTGTATAATAAATGCAATGGTTTATTAGAATGTGTGAATTTATTTGTGTTTACATATGCCTGGAGGATATAGAAATTAAATGATAAAACAGGGAGGAGAAATGTGCCTGCCTGTTTACGTTCCCTTCGCATTAACTGGGAAAGTCATTTTCTCTAGATATAGAACTTTCCATATGTAGACCTAGGAGAGAAGGATGTCTATGACTGTGTCTAACCCACTTCTGCTCCACTGTATTCCCCTAGGAAATTTCTGCTCACTCACCTCAGATCCTCACCTCTTCCCAGGATGCGCCCTGCTCTGGCCTTTCCACATGGACTGTGACCCCACGGCCAACCCCTCCCTTTCTATGTCATATCCGTCCCAGCATCTCCCTGGAGTACTTTTCTAGTCTTCTCAGGCTTAGAACTCCTGTCAGACTCATTGTCAGCATCACTGTTTGGTTATATATCCAAGAAGTACTTACTGAACACCTACGTGGGCCAGGCACTAGATATTCAACAGTTAGCATGATAGACACGGCCTCTGTCTGCATAAAACCCATGTTGTGCACAGAGCACTCAGCAAGCAATCACAGACGTGACTAGTGCCAAGGTGGGTCAACAGAGCACATCAATGGGCATCCTAGCCAGTCACAGAGGGGCCAGAAATGGTTCCCACAGGAAACGCCTTCCCAGTTATCTGGCACTGCATGTATCTCCAATGGGATCAGCAGTGCTTAGGGGAAGGGGCTGTCTTGCACTTTGTTGTAGACTCACAGTACACGCCGTCCATCTTACAAGCTCTTACAGGCTGGAGACAAGCTCCTTGGAGACAAGCGTTGGGCCTTAGGGCTCTTGAGACCCAGGGAAGAGGGAGGGTGTGAGAAGGCCGTGCTCCTGAGAGTTTGCTTGGCCCATAATTTTTGACAAGAATATTAGATAACGTCAAAATGATGGACACTTCAGGCTTTTTCTAGTGGCTACAGGACAAGCAACACAGAAAAATCATTAAATTAAATTATTTTATATCTAAGTAACTTAAAAATGGACTATTAGAGATGGGGACAAATATGGGTGCCTTGATGCTCCTGGGACAGAAGAAGTAAAGAAAACATTGGAGGCACATTTCACTGAACATGGGGCAGATAGTCCTCCAAAATTCTAGAAACCCCATGGGACCCACTTCAGAACTCTGCAAAATGGAGATCTGGAAGCTCCAACAGGTTATCTGATAAATCCCTTCAAATTGCATAAGACTTTCTGAATCATTTGTTCCATAACTATTTAAACCCTATTCTGGACAGTAAGTCCCAAATGTTGCAAAATTCCTTATTGTAACTAATTCCTAATATTATAAGTCACTAATTTGCAGAATTTTCCCTAAAAGCTCTGTTCTAATATTTCTTTTAAATAAACTGTAACTTTGTATATTCAGTTTTGCAAATAGAGTAGGCCAGTTTTTAAGCTCAACTTCCATTATTTGTCATTGTTAAACTGAGTAAACGATCAGGAATGTTTTGATCTTTGTAAAACTCAAAATTTAGAGAAAAATTTTTTTTTTTCCGGAGTAAAACAGGCTCTTCACTGTCTACAAGGTTACTTCTGAGTTGCAAAAGTTCTCTCTCCATTTTCCCCTGTATTTCCTTGCTCTTCTCCTGTATTCTTCCATTCAGTACTGGCTGCCACAATCAGACACCAGGAAGTGCAGACACATTTTTCTTGCACCTTAGTATACACATGTGCGAACAGCCTACCACTGGGCTGGCACTCAGCTACTCCCTGGAAGTAATACCTCTGGAGCATGCAGAACCTATGGAAGGCAACAGGCCTGTGAGCCAATAACTGGTGTAGTATGGTAAGTGCTGTGATAGAGTTATGAGCAAAGCACTGTGGGAATGGAGGGAGGCGAATAACTTCCCTTGGGGAGTTTGCAGACATTTTTGCAGTTTGACACTTGAAGCTCTTAAGAAGTCCGAGTTCTCCAAATAAAGACCTGGGGACACAGTGATTCAGGTAGAAGAGAGGTTCTAGGCAAAGGCCCTGATGTATGAGAGGACAGGGAACATTCCAGTAAATGCAAGTTCCATGGGTTGGAACAAAGGTTATGTGCAGGGGTGTGAGGAAGGTGAGATGGGAAAGGCAGAGGGAGCTGAAGACCATAGTCCCTGTGGAAAGTTCTGAGCCAGCCGTGTGGTGATCCTGTGTGCTTCCCAAACCCTTGAAGCTCATATCTCACTGTGCTCCCTGGACCCGAAGCATCAGAGCAGCAGCAAACAACCACGTGACAGTGATTTTAACTAGATTTCATCTTATAAGGGAGGCGGCACACTAGGCTTCACAGCTTCCTTGGGATGGCACTGCCAAAAAGCCTGATGGATAAAGATAATTCAACACATATCAACCCCTGGATTATTTGCTTGATATAACCCCAAACCTCTTCTTGACAGCCATACAAAAGCAGGCTGTTCCTCCTTTGAAGAACACTCCCGACTCGTCCACCCCCTGGAAGGGCACTGGGATAGAGCTGGCTTGCAGAGGGAAGGAAGAGCCGCATGTACTGCACTTACCTGAACTTCGACTTGGAGATCCGGTGGCTGAAAGAGAAAAGGGGGACTTTAGCAGATGACACACATGTTTCCTCCCATTTCAAAGGTGTTCAGCCATGCCAGGGAAGTCGATGTCCCTTGCTGACTATCTGTGGGGACCCGATCATGTGTGCTGTGACTTAGAACAACTCTGAAGAGAGAACCTATTTGTGAGCATCTTCTGGTGTGCTTGTGTGTTTGAATGTGGAGACTGAGGCCTGTCCCACTGACAAGTCTACAAATCCAGTTTCTTCTGAGTGGAGCGAGAGAGCCCCGTTCTCTCAGATAACCAGCATCTACCACGAGGTTCCATGAGGTCAGGTCAGACAGTATGTTAGAAAGCTGCACCGTGGGAAGGGCTTTACAGGACAGGGAGGCACCTTGGGAAGGGCCGTACAGGACAGGGAAGTCTCTCCAGCAGGTGGAGGGTCTCACCAGCCAGAGGCCATGGCAGATCCACATTGGGGAGACCCCACTGCCATCTGAACAGGAGCCTGGCCAACACTGGCTATGAAGTGAAGAGGAGCACAAGAGCCAGCTGGGCACTGAAACGCATTACAGTCTTGGCGAGGGCAGCAACCAGGGCCTAAAGGAATCCATGGGCCCCGAGGAGAAAGCAGCATGCTGGCAGCCAGGTGCAGCCCTGAAGCCTGGGGGACTCTGGACAGGAGCACCGGGCAGGTGTACTGCTGGCTGACTTGGGGTCACTGTATGGGAGGGTCTGTTGAAAGGTGAACCTTCAAGGAGGTCCTGAGACCACCTAGTTCACATATGGGAGTTCAGGGGAGTTGGATGGAGGCAGGATGGGAGAAGAGAGAAGGAAAAAGAGAGGAAGGAAGGGAGATAAACATATGGAGAGAGAGGGAGAGGGACAGTGTAAGCACTTGAGACAAAAACTTGAAGGCAATGGGTCAGAAAGGCTTGGTGTCCAGGGAGCAAACAAACGCTGGAGAGCTTGCAGGTGGATGCACAGAGAGACACAAAATGCAAGTTGGAGGTGGCAAAAGGGATGGAGAGAGCAGGAGAGACAGAAAGATGCCAAGAGAAAACAGGAGCAGGGACTTGCGAGGCAACTGCTGCAGGCCTGTGTCATGCAGCTCAGCACAAAGCACGCTCTGTCGCATAGCAAGAAAACAACCCCTCTCATTGTCTTTTATTTAAAAAAATTAAACCAGAAGATGTGACAGGTGGCAAAGCCATCGAGCATGAGATAATTATATCTCTGGGGCACCGAGAATCTGAGCCAAGTGCCTTTACTGCTCTGAACCGTTAGCTAATAACCTTTTCCCGCCTCCGAAGACTGCCTGCCAGGGCTGGAGGGTTTAATCACATGTTAACAAAGCGTGTGGGAGGGGGAGAGGGAGCCTGGGCAGCATTTTATTTAGAGTCACAGTTTAATGGGGAAACAAATGTTTTCCAGGTGCTAATTGGGTGGCAGGGCGTCCAGGGCGCTCTGTTCTCCAGCAGGGCTGGGCTGAGTGTGGCACCTTTAGCCTTTCCCGGGCTTGCTTTTGGGCAGTTCTCACTCTTGCAGAAGCCAATGCAGATGATCATGATCTCCGAGGCTTTGTCCCTAGAATTGGCCAGCCTTCGGCCTTCTTTCTGAAACGTCTCCATGACCCTCTGCAGTGCCCGTCAGTACAGACCACAGCCCCTTCCCCACAAGGCTCTCTCTGGCAGTTCAAGGGAGTCATAAGAAAATAAGGTTCTTAAATTCACCATGTATGGAAACCGAAACCTGAATGTTCACATCTCCCAAGGAAGTGACTCTGGGGATTGGACACAGGGGAGGATTGGGGCTGGGTGACTTGGAAATGAAGGTCAGGCCTGAGCTCAGGCATGGTCATCAGCTATGGGTCCTCACGTGGCATTCTGGCACATTCTGAGGAGGAGGAAATGGAGCAGGACTTTCTTTTCCACTTAGTTACATGTTCCCATGTATAACCCTGGACCACACTTTGAGACTGATTTTCGTGTTGTTGCTGTTTCGGGGGATTGTGAGCTTAATTTCAGGCTTTCTGAGTCTGAATCATTCATCCCCTTCTAAGCACAATATTACCTAAGAAGTGTTTGCACTTGAGAAGGGAGAGTGCTGTTCCAGCGGCATGTGTGTGAGACCCAGGGAGACCCAGCCCTTGGAGAGCTGAGGTTAGAAGTCTTATAAAGCCCAAGTGCCTTGATGTCTCCGTTCTCCCTGATAGGTGTGAGTGGACAGTGGGACTCACTCCACAAAAACACAAGGACCCCATTGCTCTTCAGCCTTTCACCTCTTCGGAGGTAACCACCGGCTTAGGGTTTGGAAAGCTGGTCACACTGGTCCCCTAGGTGAGTAAGCCAGGGTGTACCACTCCATACCCTGGGCTGTTTCTCATGTGGCAAATGCTTCCTCCTACTGAACAGTAGAGCCTCCAGCTTCTTCAAACCCCAATGAGGTATACACAGCTTGTTCAGAAAGCTTGATGGCTTTTCCCATCATTCCATGCCATGCCATGCCATGCCATGCCATGCCATGCCATCCCATCCCATCCTATCCTAAAAACCCTATCTAGCATTTGAAGTTGATTCTTAAAGAGCAGGGAGGTGAGGAAAGTTAGAATTTACATGTAAGACCACCAGAACAGTTCCAGTGGATTTGACTTGGGGTACACCCAATCCAAGATATTTTCTCTGCCCAGGCTTCCAAGAGAAGCCTTCTAGGAAACTATGATTTTCTTTGATATCGAAGTTCAAAATTGGAGAAAACTCCAATACTCTGTTTTGCTAAGTTACTCAAGTTGCATTTGTCATTATTTGATGAATATTTGAACTTCTTAGGAGCTATTTATATCTTCAGCTTCTCTCCCCTTCTTAGAGTAATGAGCACCATATGTTTACTCCCTGTTGTGTGAAGTAGCATTTGCCAGAATTGCCCCAGTTTGCCTTTAACATGAATCAGAGGGCATTGGAGTCGCTATCCAGGCTGACACACATCTGACTGCCTCCTCACCTCTGTAGCTGCAACACCTCCCATGGCTGTTAGGACTGGAGCGAGTAGGAACTGAAAGCAGTTGCTCCCCATCCCTGGCCAGCGTCTCCTTCTCTATCACCCCTCTTGCTCTCTCACTGAACCCTCTTTGCCCTCACTGGGTCTTCCCAACCACTCACTCTTCCAGGGCTCCCAGGTCAATGCACACTTCACATCCAGTTCTCAGCTTGGCTCCATGGTCACGTAAGGGCTGCCCTCTACACCATGCAGAGTCCCCACTCCTGGGTCTTCTGCTGGGTCCGCTTGGCAAACTCCACCCTGGTTCATACCACTGTCATGTTTTCAGTGCTGCCCTCAGGCCAAAGAGCCTACCAAAACTATGTCAAATAGTTCTGCAGGCCAATTGCACATTTATGATGTCAGTCTCCACTGCGGATTCGCACTGCTCAGCAATCTGTTTGTGACGTCTTGGTGACTCACTAGTTTGAATGTCCTGTCCTGCAGGTGCCTAGACACCTAACGCTCACTTTCTGGGAGTTGCTGACAAATCATTTGCTATGACTCCTATCACTGACTCGCTTCAGCAGAGCCCGTTTCTGATTCTATATTCTTTATAGGATTGTTGGCTTTGAGAGCTGGATCTATGGTCCACAAATATCAAGTCATAGGGTGTTTTATTCCAGAAATCTTACATGGAAGCCCAATATGTGAAAGAGACGAAAGTGGTTTCCTGTTCTAGCCCTGCAGTGGTTCCCAGGACCCCTGGCCTCTGCTGAGAGCACCCCGAGACACCATCGGTCAGCCCTTCCTTTCCTAGAGGAGGAGATCGAGACTCAGAGCAGAAGTGCCAGCTGAGGGGTAGGGCAGATCAGTGCTGGACCACAGGACTCCCATCTCCTGGTGAGTCCCAGAGGTACAGGAGCTCCTTCTTCCTGTGTGAATCTGGTGTCTCATACTGTCTTTGAAGTCAACTACCGCTTCTTAAGTAGGTGCTCCCATTTCCATTCCAGAGCCTTTAGCCCCTCCATTCTCCCGGACTTCTTTTTTGCCTTAAAGATCATCTCTACTATGATGAAACAAGTTCCCTCTTTCTAGGATCTTACTCTCCTCTCTCCCTTCCATGGCCCCACTGGTGGAGTCAGTGCTCTGTGCTGGCTCATTTCCACCCCCTTTCCACTCTGAGACTCAGCGCCCACCGCACAGAGCACAGAGTCCTCCACTCCTTTCCATCCCCACATGTGACTCCAGCCTGCCCCTCCATCATCTCACCTGCGGGTAACTGCCAGGGAGGCCTGTGCATATGTGTGCTGCTTCCCCATGGGCCCCACTCCTAAACTTTCTTTTCTAAAGTGGCCTGTCAAGAATGCAAACCTAACCAATCAACCAGCTCCTCTTCCCATGATTTCTCACAGTCTTATGACAAAGACCAGGGCCATCAAGGGGTCTCCCAGTCCCTGCCCCATCTCCAGCCTTATCTCCATCTTCGGTTGCACTGTCCAAGCTGGCCTTCTCTCAGTTCTTCCACTCCAGGGCCTTGACATGCATTGCTGCCTCTGACTGGAAAATTCTTCACCTTTGTAATGCATCTTCAGCTCTTCAGTTCGGAGCTGAAATTTTATCTCCCTCCTCCCCCTCACCCCCCAGCAGCTGTTCCCAACCTGCTAGTCTAAGTCAAGTCCCTCCCTGTCATTAAGCACAAACTCCAGCTACTCTTCCTTCTTAACACTTACTCCAATGTTAATGGTTTATTTACTTATGAATGTCAAATTCACACCAGATTATGAGCTCTAGTGAGAGGGTGTCAATTTGCTCTACTGACTGATGTGCATCACCATTGCTAGATCCACACCCGGCACACTACTGACAGAGTGTACAGATGGGTGGCTGTGTCTTGAAATTCTTCCTCCAGTGGTTTCCAAGCAACTGCTAATATCTGTACCCCTAACACCACTTCACCTTGTTCTTATTCTTCTATGTGCCTGTGTCCCAAGGTTTTGCCTCCATTCTCCTAAGAACAACTCTGATCTATGAACTCAGGAATAGTTTTTATCCTGATAACCTCAAACGTGTGACTCCTCCCTGCCCAGAGCCAGAACTGGACCTTAGACCTCCATATTCTGCTGCCTGTGTGGTCCCTCGACTTGGCCTGCTTCACAGGGCACTTCAGCATCCTTATAAGGTTCTGGCTCCAAACTTTGATGGCTCCTTCCTCTGCATCACTTATCCTCCCTCCTGCCTTCTCTCTTCAAATATCATATTGCAGGTCCTTTCTCTCTGTCACTGCCCCTCAGTAACCATCTTTATCTCAGCCTCTCACTACATGTAAATCCTTGCCCAGACCTCATCTTCCTTCACAACTAGCCTCTCACTGCCTCCGCACCACCACCCACTCTCAGGCGCTGGCCTATCCTCATGCTGCCTCTTCCACCACAAAGCCTCCTTCCATCATTGTCTGAGGGAGGTGGGGAGGTGAGAGATGGGGAAAGACCATAATTTATTAAGTACATGTTATAAGTCCGGTACTGTGACCAGATATTTTACACGCACAGCGTAGGTATATAAATGTGGACCGTTTCTACAGAGCTCTTGAAGGCTGCAGAGCCTGTCCTCAAGGCAATGCTGCACCAGAGGGACTGCCAGCTCTCTCTGTGGGGGTCATCGTGTTCTTCCAACAGAGCTCAGCTCTCCAATGGCCGTCCCTCCTGGCCTGTGCCTGGGCTATGCCCCCAATCTGGAGTTGTAGGGTCCTTAACCACCTTCTCTTTGCCCCCTTGGGGTCAAGACCTCAGAAAAGCCTAGTGTGGAGGGATTTCGAAGGCTTGCTCTCTGCCTTGCTCTAGTGTGGCTGACTGGGCCCACGTTAGACAAGCAATTGCTTGTTTTGTACGATTCCAAAAGAAGAGAAGGAAAAAAGGCTTAAATTGCAGCTTAAGACATAATTAGCACCATATTTTAACAACATTTGGACGAGAAGCGCTCCCCAGCAATGCTGAGAAACCTGCGGTGCAGACTCCCGCTGCCGCTGTCACAGCGAGTGACTCGGGAGGCCCCGCGAACCCGGAGACAGAGGTCACAGGGCTGCCTGTGTCTGGGCCTCCAGTCCCTTCTTTTTGGCTCAGGGGTCATTCTTGTGTTTAGACTAACTTTTTAAGGAGGATGTGGCTACTGCGCCACTTCAGAGAAAAAGCGTGAGGGAGTGGTTTAGAAACTCGTTTTATCTGAGAAGATCCTCTCGGCGCCTTCTCTCTCAGTGCCTCTCAGTGTCCCGTGGAGCTGACAGCTCCTGTGCCTCCCAGGCAGAGGAGGTGTCCCCACTTCCCACAGTGAAGCCCCTTCTGCCCCGAGGAGGCCTCATGCTCAGGGTCACTGCGACCCCTGAAGAATACGCCTTTAACCTTTGAACTCTGCTTTCTAAGACACTACGTAGTAATGAAACCAGCAGATTACTTATTTTTAGTAGGTAAACCATTTTCCCCTTCTTCTTTTTTTTGAGGGGCACATTGTCCAGTTTCCATTTTAAAGAGTGAACTATGATGGGTGAGTGTGATAATTCACCTGCGAGCTGTTTCTGTCACACCTGGCCCCGCCCCATCCCAGGCCCAAGTCTGCTCTGGGGCTTGTCCAGGGGAAGGGAAGTCCTGGACATGCAGGCTGGGGCTGGTGTTAGCGGAGCCAGCGCAGTCTAGACTGAGCACAGGTGAGTTTAGAAACTCACTAATGAGTAACCTGGAGAGGCAGACATGGACCATGTTTATCATTCCCTCCTTATTTTCTTATGCTTTCCTTCCAGGTCACTTTTATCAGAACGAAGAAAGGTGAGCGGCCCCAGAGGCCTAACAGCCTTCTCTTGTGAAAGTGGTGAGGGGCTGGGAAGAGAGAGGCTTCAGAGCCACCCTCAACCCCCCACACGCTCTCTGTATTTCTCGGATGTGAGGGAAAGGAGCTCAGTATCCAATTGAGGAGCGGTCTCGATTTAGACTCAATACCAACCTAGGGCTGTACTTTCCCCAGCCCTCTGCTCTGGCTCCCTGAGCAGGTTTTTGCTTCCTGCTGTGCTCTGACCTCTGCCCCCTCCCCCAGCGCCATCCCCTGCAGTGATGAGCTTTCCTTGCCCCATCCTGACTTAAGGACACAGCTTCCCCACCGCCCCACACCCCTCTCCTCCTCCCCTACCCCCAGAAAAGCCCAGCCCCTGTGCTCCCTGGAAGTGCCTACTCACGCCAGCCTGGCCCCACAGCTTTCTCCCTCGATGTCACCGCCAGCCACGTTCTCAGTGTTGACAGACTCCGTCTCGCTTGTGGGCATGCTCACTGCAAGAGTCAAAGGGATGCAGAACAAGGCATGAGGGCGGGAGAAGAAGAGGAGAGAAGAGCAATAGTGTGCAGTATCGCAGGCTCAGGAGGAGAGCCAACAGCACCCACTGGTGAGGGTGGGGGTGCTGCTGGGAGCAGGCTGAGGCCCTGCACTGTTCAGGATTTTCATGAGGGAGTTATATGCCTGCTGCTTATCGAGGGTAGGTCATGTTGCTGCAGACACTCTAAACAGTGAGAATGTGGAAGGAACCTGGCGGTCAGATCATTTACCCTATAGGACATGGTCGAAACACTCACCATTGAACCTTTCTCCACCCTCAACTTGACATCCTCAGAGAAGCTGTGCAAGCTTTTCCATTTGTATCCACTACTTGCCATAAAAGGTGATCTTTCTAGAAAAATATTTTATTTCTCTTACCTTTTCCCACCAATTCTAAGGGTTCCATTCCCAAACATAGAGTCCTGCTTGTTTGTAGAAAAGGCATTTCTGCCGCCTGCATGAACTGCTCGGTAGATTTAGAGGAAATCCCCCTTTCTGTTGTGCATAGGAGGTGCTGCGGCGTTTCTATCTGGGACAGTACCTGCCACAGAGAGCTGAGCGGACCATGCACTGAGACGCAAACTGGCACTGCAGCCCTCAGGAAGGAGGAGCCGCCACACGGAGCCTACTGTGGCCTGATGCTCGGCTGCAGGTACCCAGTCTCCCTTCCAGCAGCCCAGCCAGGACATTCCCACTCCACAGGCTGACTCAGTATATCAACCATCTACTTCCACCAGCGCTGACCTACTGGCCATCTCCAGTCTCTCCCTGAGGTGGCGGGGGCTGAGCTTTGAAACCAGCAGGAGTTTTCTCCTTGGAACACATTTGATGGTTTAGAAGGAGCCATTTCTTTCATTATTATTTTTTACTACAAGTAAAAATGTAACTCAAGAGATTTATTTTCTACCTTCTACTACCCTTTGTTCACAGCATGGCTCCTGGTTCAGCTCTCCTTGCAGGACACAACTCCTCATGTGGGGAGAAAACCAGTAGCCCTCAGCAGCCAGAGAATCTGCATTAGTGAGGGTGTGGCATCAGGTGATGTGGCACCATGTGACAAGTCCCCATCGGGCCACAACCGCCCAGGAAAAGACTTCTACTGTTATATGGATTTCCCACTTCTTTTCTTGTGGATGAACACAAGATGGGCGAGTGGGAAGAAACTCAGTTCAAGACCACCGAAGATACAAAGAGAAAGCCCATGACTTACCATGTGCTTGACTGTCACATCTGAGCAACCTATCCTCATTAGGGCTCATTTTCAATAAAGTTGGGTAGTAGGAAATCTAGATGCCATTTTATAGACACTTGGAGCTGGATGGAACTTTAGACATTATCTGGCTCTAACTTGTCCCCTTTACCTCACAGGACAGGAAAATGAGGTCTAAGGAAGGGACCAATGCCCAAGGTCACACAGTTTGGGGTGGGATTTGGACTGGAGCACAAGTCAGACCCTCTGTACCATGCTCATTAGATGGTCCCCATGTTGACCAACTCTCTTTCCTACACTCTAGGACCAGATGGGGTTCTTAAAGCCAAATCGGGCTATGGGGACATCATCAGAACATGGTGAATAGCCAAAGGATAGTGTTGAAACTCACAGCACTTTTACTCTCCTTGGAGCCCAAGGCCTGAGGGAGCTGGAGAGCAAGGCCAGACCTCAGGGATGGTTTTAGCCCTGGGAACTGGAAAGGTAAGATTTTGAGAATTCCTTAGTCCATCCACATTAGTGAAGAAGTAATATAATAGAAGAGCTTTCAGTCTTTTAATCCATCTCTCTTCAGATATTTCTTACTGAGGTTCCTTTAACTCTTCTGACATCATTATTTAAAGAGCTGAGCTGTATACAGAAATCTCTCTGACTTTCCATGACATGCTTATCCCAGAGAGCCCCTTAGGTGTCAAGTGGAGTGATGGTGGTGGTGCTGGGCATAGAAAGACAACCAAATTAGGAGTAGGCAGGCCTGGGCACTAGGAAGAACCAAATTATCTTCTAAATCAAGGCACCGCCTGTACCAGTTCCAAGATTGCATTTACAGTGACCTTAATCTTGGCTGACACTACCCAAAGGAAAGATTCCATCAAGGACTAGCTGCTGACTATTATATCTGCTGACTTCATACAAAGAGATGACAAGGCAGTAGCTGTGAGATAGAGTTCCACCCCTTACAAAAACACAAACATACATACAAATATATACACACACATATGAACACACATGACCACAGCATCACAAGCCATCAAGAAAAATACCCTCCCATCCAGTTCAGTATGTAGCAACACACATTAACACACAGAGCACAGGGAACGTTACCATGGGTTTCTGTGGAGTGACTAAACCAAGCAAACTTCCCTTTCTTCTGATCAAGCAAGCCTGCTGCAGCTCCTTCTTTCACAGACAAGATGGTCATTTTCAAGAACCAGGAACAAGACATCAATAGCGAGCATGCAGTCAGCCACGGGCAAAAGAAAGAAACAAAGAACTCAGCTTTCACAAAGAACATCAATTTCTTCTCCAAAAATAAACTGAAAATTGTAAAAATCAATAAACCAAAACAAATAATAACACATAATAAAATAGAACCAAACCCCCAAATCACATGAACTAATGACACAAAACAAATGACAGACATTGGGGAGAAGGAATTACTGCAGCAGAGGCTTCAGTCTAACTGGTGTGTCTGGTTAGTGGCTTTGAGGAGAGGGCTTCCAGGGAGGGGTCACCATGCATCCCAGTTGACTTCTGTGGAAGGTGCCCTTGTACAGGCTCTAGTGGTAACTGCTAAAATCAAACCATAGCATTGGTGTCCTCCTTCACCCCCACCCAACAGCACCCTCCACCACCTGTATTAGGTTCCAGGGCTCCATCACCACTTAAAACCAGGACACATGCAGGTAGAAAGCAACTGTGGATCTACTTGCTCCTTTGTCCAATTCAATCATTCAATGCCATTCAGTAAAGACCTACCAAGTGCCACAGACCTGATCACATCCCAAAAATATATATATCAGTTTTTAATGGGTTTAAACAAGCAAAGAAGTTGCTCAATTGTCAATGGGTTGTCTTTTGAGGTGGTTTTTATAAAAGAAAGAATTATGTGAGCTTCTCTCGGGCCTGGGCTGTAGTTGATGAGAGGGTGCTGGTGAGAGTGTGAAGACACTGATTGTTGCAAGTGGAACAGGGAGAGTTCTGTATTCTGCAATGGACTCTGAGATCTGGATATCAAATGCATTAGCTAATTTCCAAGAAAGAGAGCTTTCCCACACCTTTGATAGAACTGGCATTAATGGTGCCAAGTGGGGTGCTAGGGATGAGAGGGGAGTGAGGCATCGTCACTGATGACTAGTGAGGCAGGAAATCCCCAACCACTCCTGGACAGAAGCAGCATCCTGATGAGGAATGAATGGGTGGCCTCATCCATTCCAGGAAAAGACACGAAGGGAAAGTCAATCCAAACTTAGATGCTTCTTTATCTCGTCCCCCTGCCTCAAAAGTTGGATGATGTTCAGCGAACATCCTTGAATGCTCTTTGTTAGTGAGAATTCTGAAGACTGGCTCATGACAGACAAGGGTCAGGCTTATTTTAATCTAGGTAAAGGTCCATTTCCCAAACAAATATTTAAAAGATAAAACTTGAAATAAGCAGAAACTTCATAACTTGTAGCATTTTAACTTCTAAAAAATCCCATTTGAAAAAAGCATTGAGAGTTAGGAGCTGACATGAATGACTTCTGGAAGGTCTGTGACACTTGGCTGCTTTCTGGAAAAGAAGATATGTCTCAGTTTAGAATAAAATCACTCAAGTGAACATCTCATGAGGAGTCTTCTATTCAGAGAGGGTAAACTGAGGCTGCCAGTCACCAAGTCTCTGTTCACCCAGTTGTCTGGGGTGGAGGTGGGGGGACAGGAACCTTGACCAATGATGAAAAGCCAAGAACATTGTGACCTATTATATGGAAGCATCATCCACCTTTTGGCTTTGGCATCAATATTGTCCCATCTTGTTCAACTTCAGAAATAACTGTATGATAACTTTCAAAACAAGAGAAAAAGCTTGATAAAATCATTGAATTTGATCAGGGTTGGTCTCTCATGCAGGCAAAGTTGGTGAGTGATTGGAAGAGCATTTAAATCATCTACCTTGTCCAGCCAGGGTGGCTCAATGGTTGAGTGTCAACCTATAAACCAGAAGTCATGGTTTGATTCCTGGTCAGGGCATATGCCTGGGCTGTAGGCTCTATCCCCAATGGGGGATGTGCAAGAGGCAACCAATTAATGATACCCTCTCATCACTGATGTTTATATTTTTCTCTCTCTCCTACCTCTCTGAAATCAATAAAAATATATTTAAAAAATGAATCATCTCACTATACCGGACCTGCTCTTTTGGGTGAAGTTATATTTGAATGTTTCTTGCTGAAATGAAAATACCTCACCTGGAAGGAACAGTACAATAACATATTAGTGCCTATGATAGTTCATCCCATAAGAGGGTGAGGATGCAACTGTATTCCTATTACTAAGGGATTAGACAGCAGGATCAAAGCTGCTTCTTGGAGGGACCTGCCATCCTAGAGAGAGAGACTTGGATTCCTTCTTGGAGTTCCCAAACAGTTGAAAGTTGAGAATTATAAACACTGGACATGAATTCTTGGTAGAAGACGGACAACCTGACTCCTCCTCTGAACTGGTGGGAAATCAAGGCAAAAAGATGGCAAAGAACCTACGTGCCCAAGGACACTCTCCTCCAAAGGCAGCCCTCTGTACGCCCTGAGAAGTGAAGTCTGAGCCTGCTCATTTGCAGATAATGCGATGAAGATACATCCTCTGTGGAATGAAATGTGCATCACTGGGTGGATTTAGGAAGAAAAATGCCAGGGAAGACCACTAGAGAAAAAGCCAGCTTTCTGACTTTCTAATTTCACTGTAGTAGGTACAGTGGATCAAATCTGGGTC